ACTTCCATGGTTGCTTTGAAGGTTCACATGTCAGTTGGTCGAATGCCAGCTGCCCTTTACGGCACGAGATCCCACGCAGGAAAAAGTAGGGTCCGTGCGCCATCAGTGACGCTTAGCGGAGGTGCTTTGTGGAGAGAGAGAGGGTTCGAGCTTTTTCGCTTTGTTCCTGGTCCGGAGAAGATCAGTACCATACCTCCGTTTGGAAGGTGCAGACGGACCCCTGGTTAGTGAATATATACTTAACTTAACTAATTCTTACTTAAATACAGAATACAAGTGTCTCCAATCATTCTCACAGAGGGTATGTGGATCCATACCATCCAACTACACTAACTTGGGGATCTCCAAACAGGGCACCCTTTGGGCGGTCGTAGGGACTGTGGCTTGGAGACCGCCCGTCCACAAAGTCAGACTGGACCTCCAAACAGTTTAAACACCCAACCCCCGAAGCTCCAAACCCAGATATCCTGGCCCAAAGCCAAGCTCGAAAACCATACCTCCATTCCAAAACACATCTCCCCCAAACCCCACACCATTTGGGCTCCCAACAGTGCCCAACACCCGGTCGCTGCGGCACCCGTACCGGCACCGGCTTGTCCGCCGCCAACGTCGCTCAGGGGCACCGCCCAATGTCCGGGACCCAGAAGGACGCACCCAGAGGTGGAAGAGAAGGTAGACGATCCTCACTGCAGACCCAAAGCTAGCTGAACGGATCCTCTGGGCACATAGACCCAGATATAAAGGATCCCATCCTCTGGGCATCCAGACTGCTGATATATAGGGTTTAGGGATGTTTAGGGTGTATACTTTAGGGTGTAGACTAGACTTCTTGTCGTTAACTTCTTCTGTATCCGATTTGGTTCGTTTATATTACATGTGTTTAAAGTCCTGTACTGGGAGCCGTTGCTTGGACTCCTACAGAGACAGCCGGACCAGACTCATTGCACCGGTCACACAGGCGCCGGACAACAGCATCGACCTGGGGAAAACAGCGCCACCCTTGTCCAATCTCTTAAGACAAGAGCTTTTTTGTTTTGGCCCTACTTGGCCACCCCATAGGCGATCCGATAAATGTCTTATTATTTACCTTTCAACCCTTGAACCGACTGAAGCGTAGAAAACGAAGATGATCCAAACCTTATCCAAAGTCTTTTCCTCACATCCCATCATCCCATCATCTCCCAAACCTTTCCACGCTCCCTCTGAGCCTTGCGCCAATCCACGCTCCCTTCCGAGCCGGACAAAGACCCCCTTTGCTCGCCCCCCCTTCGCGCCCCACGCGCCGAGGTATCCCGGGACCTCGCCGATGCGGGGTGGGGAAGAGCCCAGATGGGACCCGGCGTGGGGAGGTTGCTCCGATCTTCGGATCCGAATCCGAGAGTCCTTTTGGAGGTTTTGTGGAATCCGTGTGGTTTGATAATTAGATATAATGTTGATGTTTCTTTTACTTATATATGCTTTAAGGTGTCAGGGGGGTTTTGGGATTTTCCATCATTTTCCACCATGTTCCGAGAGAAGACACACGTACTGTGGCGGTAGATTCTCTTAGTAAAACCGAGCTGGAAGAGTGCGGGTCTCCGAGTGGCATCTCTTGCCAGAACACCACATTGTCCTTCCAACATGTTCAGGCCAGTGGACAATCCCTGTTTGTAAGAGGAAAAGGGTCATCCAAGTGGCCCCTTTTCCACTTCCATTGTGATGCCAGGGAGTGGTCCTTTCGTTTCTCAAAGATTCTCTCCTACTTCAAGAATCTGCACACCACGGGTTGACCAGGAACTGGATGGTGGTTGTTTACAACCAGGCAAGGGAGGGAATTTTGAGTGATATCTTTCCGCGCCAGACTTCAAAAGCCCCAAATGCAACTATTATTTTTTCACCAGAGAAGATTTTCATGGCAAAGCTCTTGATGCTTTTCATGTTCGGCCAATCGTTCCTATGGTCTCGTACATTTAGTATATAGGGTTTGTCCCAGTAAACCCGCAACAGGCAACAGTTGGTAAACAATTGTCATGGTTTTAGAGATTTCGGCCTTGACGAACCTCACCATCATCATCCACTGGTGCTGTGGTCATGATATACGCAAGGTTTGTTTATTCCACTCCCACATTCCACTCACCATCATCATCCACTGGTAATGGGATATGCCCCAGGTATGGGAGATGTCGATTGATCACCGAAGCACTTCGCATCACTTCCACCTGCAGTAACTCCCTACCGCCGAGGCTGCGCATCACTCGCAGCACCAGCAGTTTTGTCGCAGGCCGGGCGATGTCGATTGAGGGGACGAGATTAAAAAGTGAAAAAACACCAACAACAATTATATGAATTTTAACGCACACATAGAGATGACTGACTAGCCCTTTCACAACCTTTTTGTTTTCAAAACAACAAAAGAACCATTACAATAGCCCTTCCCCAAGCGTAGCACCCAGCTGGAAATGAGTTGGAGACTGATTTTTGTGAGGCCTTCCGGCGTGGAGGGCAACATATGACTTTGGGGTTTGTAGGTCGGATACAGCTATTGATATAACCCACACCATCCATGGGACTGGAATAGTTACCTACATTGGGGTCGCAAAATGGGGTCAATGTAATATTAACTATAGTTATTCCAGTCCCATGGATGGTTTGGGTAATGAAAAAGAGAAGAACATAGAAGAACCAGGAGTCAAGAACTCTGAGAAATCTCAAAAGCTTGAGGATGGAGGATCACGGGATGGATGGGATGCCTTGCTCTTTACAAACAGCTTACCAGGTGCTTCCAACGGGTCACCAATGGACAACCCTACCCTACCTACAGGTCTCCATTGGGCACCCATTGGAAGTGCTAGGTAGATTGACATAATATGGTTTCTTTGCTTGTACAATGTCCGTAGCAGGTCGCCACGGAGTTTTTCCGTCAGGTGAGGGTTGTTAGATCGGTGCCGTCCCAAGGACTCCCTGAAAGGTTCGGGAAAGCAGCATCCACACCTCATTGGTTTGTGGGTCTCCCTCCCAGGGAATCCAGTTACCACTATAGCTGGTAACCAGTGGTTCCAAAGACTAAACCCATAGACCGAACGAATCCCTGGTTCCTTGTATAGTGGTAACTGGGATGCACTGGGCCTATTAAAACACACACCCACGTAATGACGCTGCTGCGTTGCTCCGATGCTTTCCCTCCCGCCCTTCCCCTCACCGATGGGGTGCGACGATGGTTTGGGGGGGTCAACATGCTGCTGGCCTCCAGGGAGTTCTAGGCACTTCTGACCGCGGCTGCTTGTGTTCTAGAAGTGTTGTTCACAGATGATGTACGGGGCAGTTAATGCATGTCCAAAGTACAATGCATTCACATTCATCCCAACTTGCACTTTGAATTCCAAGTTAGCAACTCCAAAAACGGAACTCTCAGAACGTCCAATGACATATTTTTACCTCACCTGAGAGTCATAACCGACCACTAACTTTCTTTTTTTATGGTAAAGTGAGTCATCTGCACTCTCTCAGGGTCAGTGAAGCGGCCTCCTTTGCCATGTTTCAGGCCCGGCTGGCACCGTCCACCGCTGCGGTGGAGACCCGCGCACACGTGCACGATGCACGATGGAGAACGGCACGGCTGGGGCACCAGTCATGGGATTTGGTGGAGCACAGATGTGGCGATGGAGGAGGGTTGCAGCGCGATTTGGGCAGAATCGCTGCGATCGTGCTGGCGCATCGATTCTCTCGTGTTGAACGAAAAGAATGACCTTTCTTAAGGAGACGAATGGAGACGAACCCAGAAGGAGGTCTTGTGATTCTGCAAAAGCGCTTGGTCGCACCTCATATATCGACTCCCTGTTGGTCACATACCCCAAGAATCCATGGGGTTATATTGACCCTCAAAATCAAACCACTATACCAGCAGCTCCATGTCTGGGGGTTGGAGCTCAGTCCGGGGTGCCCCTGTCACGACATCACATCCCATGTCCCTGGATGGCACTGAAAACCCCTTGTAGGCCTCCCATCGCCCGGATTAGAAAAGGGATAGGGCACCAGGCGCCACCAGGCACCACCAGGTGCCAGGGCCTGGTGAGGTCGTTTCTCTACAGGGCAGACCCTGCGAGGAGGAGAGCTACCGGAGTGGAGCGGGAAGGGAGAGTCCACCACCTCTGGACCATCCTGTTTGGGTGTCCAGTTGTGGACTTATTTAGGGATCTCCATTGAACACCCGGACAGGATGGCATGGTACATGACAAACTTTCTTGGACAGGTGTCATGGTGGGGTTTGGTTAGGTCCTCGTTTTGCTTCGGCTTATAGCGTGATGTTTATCGTTCCTTTTAGTTAATCCACGTTCTCATATAGCGACGCTGTTCCTTTTTTTCCGGCTCCTGGGAGCAGCAAACAGAATTCTTCGGGGGTTTGCCACCTCAAATTCACCGGTGGAGCGCATCCCGAATCACACCTCAAGGATGGCACCCGGTGAATCGGTTCGGTTCTGGGCTTAGCGGCTTTGGCGTTGAGGCCCTGCAGTGCTGCGGCAGTGTTGGCGGCTGCAGCTGGGGTCGGGGCGCTCGATGGGGTTCGACCGCTCGGTCGACACCATCCACGTCGAGCACGGTGCGGGAGGCGCGGGATGAAACACGCAGAATGAGCTTGGGCGGCTTGGTATGTTTTGCACCTCAGTGAAGCAGAGCAAGCTGGCCCTAGTTCTAGGCTAAAGCTTGATCCTGAGGCCCCAACGACCGGTCCGTGTGGAGGGCTTATTAGCACGATGGATTTGCTGAAGTAGAACCAAGTAGAAGCATGCTGAAGCATGTAATTGTAGGGATGGTGATCTTCCCCTTTTCATGCCCCGCATGCCCTGAGTTTCCAACGCAGCTGTCTTCGGCTCACTGGTGGCTCGGAGTCCACTCCTTGGGCCGAAGAACAAGAATAAGAAGAACAAGACCTAAGAAGACACAGCTACTACTTTTAGTGCTGAAGGATCTGACTTTTTCTGCTCAACTTACTCTTTAATCCTCTCTCTCTCTCTCTCCCTTGCATGGCTATGCAAGACTTTGGAACATTCGTATGCCATCCCAAACCCCATGTTCTTCACTCCCAAGAGAGTTCCGCTGGAGCCCACGCCACCCCAAACCCCATCGTTCGCAGCGCCGCCATTGTTCCCACTCCACCGGGTGACCTCCTGGCGCGGCGGCGACGTGCGGCGCCCATGGAGCTGCGCCCGGCGGCGAAGAAGCCACTGCTGCCCAAGGCCACCAAGGATAAAACCTTGCCGCCCCTGTGGCTGAACCCGAGGGGGGTGACCTATGGGTCGCGGAGGAGGAAGGGTAGTGGAACTTGGCGGAGATCTGAGGGAGATAGTTGTTTTTTTTGGTGTTAGTTTTTTTCCGTTCTTTTCGGAGGTTGAGATTCAGGCATCTTCTATGCCAAATGGAGCTTTCGCATACCTCAGTGACTCAGTGCCAATGTTTGTATGCCGAAGTTTGGGTGGATGAGGAGTAGGGCCACTATGTGTGGGGTTGCGTGGCAACATGTGACCAAAGATTACACCGTTGGTTTCCGGTCTGTTCATGCCAAAAGCTTCGTTCTCATAGCACCAGCTGCTACATGCAGCTGCTACACTCCAAAAAACATGGAAGTGGAGTTTACCACCCCCTGTTTGGTCTTCGTATTTCATGGTCCAACGTGTCATGGCATCCACCTCAGGATGATTTCAGAGACATGCTGCAGGATCCCTGCAGACCTGGCCGCCCCTTCCCTCCGTTGATGCTGAGGCAGGACAAGGGCTGGAGCTCCTTCAGCGAAGGATCTGCTGGGGGCTCACTGGCCTTGTTGATCTCAGCGGCCATCGGCACAGGCGCGCTAGCGCTAAGCGCGTGCGAAGGAGAGGTTTGGGTCGGGGCCACGCCACGAGCACTGGTGAATTTGTAGGTCAAATCGAGTAATTAGGCATCCACACAGAGTTACAGAAGCTATTTTACAATTGTATTGAGGTATAATGCTTGTGCTTGTAGTGTAAAAATCAACTAACAAGTCAAACGCACATGGAAGTGGATCCCCCTACTGTGTGAAGGAACTTGTTTGCTGTTGCGGCCAAGCCACCAAAGCGCAGCAACTATTTAGCCGTGATGGTCAAAGGGGCCTACCGAACATCGCAGAATGTGGAAAGACACGTGGAATTGTGCTCAGAAAGGCACACAGAGAAAGGACAGCCACAGGCTTGGTGAATCGTTCTCCACCAAACGTTTGGCCTTTTCAGTCCATTCCAGTCCATGTCCCAAACCGTTCCAAGACTTGTCCACCATCACCCCTGAGTCCCTGTCCCAACCAGGCATACCACCTGAGGCACACCCTCAAGAGAACCCTTTGCAGGTGGGTCCACCGTTCAGCGCGTGCCACACGGAAGCTCCACAGAACCCCCGAGGTGTCCTAGCGCTGCCCTATGGCGTGAGCTGCGTGGGCATTTGGGGCCGCTTGGGACATGCGGATTTTGGAGAAGGGCTACTTCTTCCGCGGGGGGAGGAATGGGAGAGGGAAGACTTGGTTGGTCCCAACGTTCTGGGTCCTCAGTTGGGCTTCGTGTGCGTAGATGCGCACCCCACTGGCCCACTGCAGCCTTATGGTTTGTGCCCGCCAGCTTGTCATGGGATGGGGAAACATGAAGGAGAATGAGGATCCCATCCTCTTTGTTGCTAAGAAGAAGGGATGCCTTCCTCTTTTGCAAAGAAGTGCCCAAGAATGGGTGCTAACAGGGTGACCAAAAATTTGAGGCTCCTTGGCACTCTTCGCCTTCGCCGGGGTCTTCACTTATTACTCCAACACCATCTTGTTCGATTGCGTCTTGGAGACGAGCCATGGCTCCTATGGCCAGCTGATGTCGGACATCTTGGGGAAATACGGAGGCCGCAGGGGGGTTGGCAGGTTGTGGGTGAGGAGCCGGAAGATGTTTTTCCATTTTGCGCGTGGCTACTTCCAAGGAAATGGGTATCTACTTTCCGAGTCACTTTCACATGGACGTTGCCAGCGCCATCGCACCCTCAAATCAAAACGTCGAAGCTGATTACTTCGTCCGCATGACATCGTGATGTGTATGGAGCTACTTCGCATACTTCGCTATTTCCAAGATGACGTGACTACCCTGACCTGGGAGGCATGACCTTGGACCTTTTTGTCTTCGTGGAGGGCTTGGGGGCAGTCGCCACCTACGCATCTGGGCGTAAGGACGTGCGGTTCCGCAAGCGTTTGCTGGGGAGGAGGAGATATGAGGAGAACATTCTTATGGAGGGGTGTGGATTGACTGCCCCAACCGTAGGTTTTGGTTTGGTGGTGTGAATGCAGGTGTGATTTTTTGGAGGATATGTACATGGAAATGACTCAAATCTGAAACGCACTGGTGATTGGGGGCGCCGGTTTCTCTCCTTCCTGGCGAACCGTGCGTTATGACAATGAACATCCAGAGACGTTCGTTTTGAACGGATGGTGAAGCAATGATGAACGGGATTTAGTGATCATACATGAAGATCTTCAGAGCATCCATGGATAGTGAAGATCCCACACATCAAGCATCCTGGTCTTCTTTGTTTCACCCTCGCCGTTGCCTGCTCTCATCTCGCTCATGTCTTTTTCTATGCCCTTTCCGCACGCGCACACGAAGCAGACGAAGCACCCGCACATACCCAAGGTCCAGCACCTTGCATCCAGGATTCCAGACTGATCAGTTGGACCGAAGAACAGCAGAACCAGCAGAATCAGCCGGTTCTGCTTTATTAGGCTTTCCCTAGGGCTCCAGTCCTGCCTCCTCAGAAGGTATTTGGACCCTCTAAACCCACCCCAGTCCCACCTTCTTAGAAGGCCCTTGGAGCCCTATAGCTATAGGGTTTATTTAGGCTTTGGGCTGAACCTCCGAAAAGTTCCACTGAAATGGGCTTCCGTCCCGTCCGAATCGCCCATAGTCCGTCCGAAGGCATCGCCCAGCCCTCGGTCCTTCGCTCGGGGGTCCTGGCATCGGTCGACCGCAAGTGTCTTGAGGTGGTCTTCATCATGGACTATGTGCCCCAGGTGTTCAGAAGGGGTGAAGTGGTTCCCAACTCTTGCCGGGGTGCTGCCCCAAAATATGTCAGGAGATATTGCAGCATGGGACATGCTGGACAGGCACTGAGTCAAGGTGATTGAACACGAGATGCCTAGGTTTTGGGCTTGAGCGGCTCTTTTCGGTGTGTCTAATTGAAGTGGTCTTTCGGCCAGCCATAGTTGTAAGATGAAGTTTGTAGCGGGCCACCTGTTATCTACATAGAAAAGATCGGTACCCTCAAACCTAAAGCCATGAGTTGCCCCAAAAGCGGGAAGACACTCAACGTTTTGCCTTGTGCCAACAAGTACAGCAGCTTCGCTATACTTTCAGAGCGACAAAGAGACCAAAAAAGCACAAAGCAGTTTGCAGCCCTTCGAGAATCACAGGGAGCTGCACCTGCACCTGCAGATCTGTCGCACGGACGGCGGACTTCCCCAGTTTGCACATCCCCAAACACGGTCCTCCTGTGACCGGACGGTCCAACCGTGAAAGGGGCGGCTGAAACTGCCGCCTCTGCCGTTTTACCAGGTGTGTGAGCTCTGGGGTGAGGATGTTTGGTGCACCGATAAGCTCAACGTCTTAGCGGCCGCGACGCTGGTGATTTGGCCTTTGAGAGCCCTGGCCGCACGGAACGGGAAGTGAAAAGTAGGGTGGGGGACTGAAACCTGAGAAGCAGGGTGAGGTGTGGTGTTCCCGAGTTGAGGGTTTGGAATGCTGAAATCTGGTTGTTGTCAAGTTGTTTTCAGCCCACAATTCTTGAAGCTACCTTCCAAACAGATCAAAATGTTGAATTCGAGACAAAAGGTTATACCGGCTCAACTCAAGAATTCGAGGTGAGCTCCAAAACCACGCCACCCAAACGCACCCAGCATTCCCCAATGAGATCCCCCGCTTCCGACTGCAGCATCGTCACCCGGCATTCACCTCCTCCCAGAGCCACCGAAGGCCTCGGCCTGTCTCGCTGAGGCTGTTTGAAGGGCTTGTCTGCCTTGCGGTACACCTCTACCTGCAGCATCGCCACCATCGTCACTTGCACGGATCGTCGTGAGCGCAACAAGCACCCTGATATATCCAAGTACTCCGGTGAAGCAATCCACTTTTGGGCCATTTTTCCTCCCCCTCCCCGGAAAGACGCGTTGGAACCCACTCCACCCTGCAGTCTGCGACAGATGCCACCTGAAGTCATCCCCACAGATGCGACAGATCTTCGCGGTGGCCGTGACTAGGTCTTTTACTGCGGTTTTGTGAATTCAACAAAAGAATACGCATACACACCCATAGTTCTGTATAGGAAAGAACTTTCCACTATAGTTTTGTTCTGTATAGGTCCTGATAAACCCATACTATACACATGGTTATCAGGACCTTCCACTCGTGACCTCTTCAAGGATTGGTAGAACCGTGACCTGAAATCATACGGCCTGTTTGGTGACCGACCCGCCACTGGGATCAAGGACGGTCACTGGGAAGGTCCTGGTAGACATCATTGTAGGATTGGACAAATACCCCATGTCCTGTTGGAAGGGAACAGTACATTCACATGCCATGCCATGCCATCCCAAATCAACACATCATACTACTACACATGAGCAAGGCTCAAAACCTCCCAAGATGAACTAAGTAAAGGCCCAGCTCACATGATTAGACATACTACACATGTCTGACCTGAGGTCTTCACCTGCCTGGTGGTCTTCTTCAAGGCTCCCAGCCACTTCGCGGCCCAGGAGGCGACCCTACAGCAGGTGCGGACCAAGACACGAGGCAGACACGAACGGTGCGAGGCGCTCGATCGAAGCACCGGGGGGGATGTTGTGAACCACCACCGAGGTGCAGAGGTATATGTGGGGGGGAGAGTTATACGCAGCTGTGTATGTAGATGCGTCCATTCTCACTTAGCAGGTTTTTTGGATGTTGTGAATTTCATTGAGCAATTGAAGTTCTTTGAGCGGGGCTTTGAATCGTTCAACACTTGGCGCTCTGTTTCAGCGCCGTCCAGAGACGTGGAGACTTGGCCGTGCACCGTGCCTTCTTCGAGCGCCGTGTTGGATCCGAAGAGCGCCGTGCCCGTGAGGGATGCGATCCGGAAGTCGGGGGTGCCCCCGACATCACATCCAGCTCCACGTGTCGGGGACGACGACGACGTTTCACACCACCCAACTCCATGTGACTTCCTGGTTTGTTTATATCATCATTTTTGGGGTGCCTTTGCGAGGTGAGCGAGTGGATGTTCCCCATCTTCCAGGGGAAAAAGCTCGAAAAGCAAACATGCAACACTCAACGTGTCGGAATTTGTCAGAGAACACCCTCTTCCACTTGGCCAAAAAGGAACATGTGGTATTGTGGAACTGGGATGGAGGTTCTTTGTTTGGTTCTTTGGGATGAGGGAAGTGAGAGGTTTCTGGCTTCAGAAAGTTTAGGTCATAGTTCTCCCTAGGGCTCCTGGCCCACCTCCTGAGAAGATGGTTGGGGTGGGCTTGGGGGGTCTAACCACCTTCTGAGGAGATGGTTGGAGCCCTAGGGTCTGAAGACTGAGCATGTAGCCCTAGGGAAAACTCTCCGTGGTGCCAGTGGACTCTTGAGGAGTAAGTGGCTCTTTGGTCATCGAAGCTTCGAATCATCTCGCTTTCCGGGTTCATAGGCTATGGCTCCCCAGCTGCCCGCATGGGTGCGGTCATGAGGTTTGTATAAACCGCAATAAACAACATTCCGTAGGAGTAGCAGCAACCATTGTTGTACCTACAACATTTACAAGTCTACTCGATAGCTTAAGGTGGAAGGCCGGCCCTTAATAGTGTCAAGTATGGAGATCCTTGCTGTGTCTGGTGCAACAGTCGTTGAGATTGACGAGGATGAGCTTGGGTGCATGGTGGAACGTGGAGATTATGTGAGGGACCTAAAACGATGCCTGGCACATCGCGTGGGATTTTCGAGGTTTCAGCAAAGACTCGTTTGTGAAGGGATCGAGCTGAAGGATGATATGCCTTTCAGACCAATCCCAAGTTTGCAGCTGGTAATTGTAAGCTTTTGTGCTCCTGAGACGGAAGAGAGACTAATTCAAAAGTGTCGCGAGAATAAAGTGGATGAACTTGAACAACTCCTTCAAAGGCCCCTGGATCCAAATGTCATGGATGCAGTCACTGGAGACCCACCAATCCATGTTGCAGCTGAAGCAGGCCACTTGGAAGTCATGCGCTTACTACTTGACGCTAGAGCTGACAAGAACCAAAGACATGGATTCGGGGAAACAGCTTTGTTTGTCGCGGCTGAGTGTGGCCACTTGGATGTCGTGGAGTTGTTGCTCGATGCTGGAGCTCATACTGGAGCTGACAGGCGGAGGGATGATGCCATGTCTGTAGCCGCTGAATGCGGCCACCTGAAAGTCGTGCAGTTGTTTCTCGACAGAGCAAACGAGAATCCAGCGAAGGTGAGGGTCCATTGTGACAAAGCTGTGTGGATGGCAGCTCACCATGGCCACCTGAAAATAGTGCAGCTCTTGCTCAATGCTGGAGCAGACATAAATGCTGCACTGTTTGCAGCAGCTGGACAAGACCAGCTCAGACTCATACAGTTACTCTTCAGAGCTGATGCAGCGAAGGTAGATCGGGAAACAGCTATGCGGATAGCAGCTGCGAATGGCCACCTGAGACCTGTGCAGTTCTTGCTCGCTGCCGGAGCTGACAAGAATGCATTGGACGCAGATGGTGCAACCGCTTTGGCTTATGCAGCTGAAAACGACCACTCGGAAGTCGTGCAGCTGTTGCTTGAAGCTGGAGCTGACAAGAATGCAGCAGCGGCAAATGGTGCAACGGCATTGCTTCTAGCAGCTGGGCAAGGCTGCTTGAAGGTTGTGCAGTTGCTGCTTGAAGCTGGAGCTGACAAGAATGCATCAAAGACAGATCTTACAAAGGCATTGCTTGCCTCAGCTTGCAATGGCCACTTGGAAGTTCTGCGGTTGTTGCTCGAGGCCAGAGCTGACATGAATGCGAGGAATGCTGATGGGGAGACGGCTTTGCTTCTTGCGGCTCAGCGGGGCCACTTGGATGTTGTGCAGTGCTTGCTTGGTGCCGGAGCTGCCAAGCATGTGGTGAACGAACGTGGGACAACAGCCTTACAAGTTGCAGCTGAGAAAGGCCACCAGGCTGTCGTGAAGTCGTTGCTGAATGCTGGAGCTTATGGATAGGTCCTGTAAACTCAGATCCTGTGTGCAATGGTTTCCACAATCGAAAGAGCTGCGCCCGATGCCGGGGCCGCCATGATCAGAAGGTGGAAAAAGAACTGATGCATGCCTAGCCGTGGTGATGTGTGGGGCATGCCCATGGTCAACATCAACAGCCAACCCTAGAATCCTAGAAGTCCAGTTCAACCATCTTCGGCACCACCAAAGTCTCCAGGAAACTCTTCTTTCGGATTCATGGTCAGGCCGTTTTGATCAACTGTTAGTCCACCTGCCTGGGGAGGCTTCCCGCTACCGGGGCGTCCACATGTTCCACCCCTTGGGACTCCCACCCCTTCGCGTTCGCCACGCGTTCGAGCTCGCGCGTTCGACCAGGTGCTCTCGCAGGCTCGTTGGAATCGCTCCAGCTTTCAGGTGCACCCGGCGTTCGGTGGGACGACGGTGGGACGACGGGACCGAGACTCGCTCCGTTCGGCGGACTGGCAAGTCAACCGCCGGGGTCGATTGATCAATGATATTCCTGGGGTCGTATAGATTGGAGATCATTGATATCTCAGACCATCCATCAAACTGGCATCGTTGACCTCATTTTACATCCCTCTTCAACGGACCCTAGTCCCATGGATGGTCTGGGTCTGCCCTTTCCACGTGTTTGGCGACCCGTCTCCCGAGACCCCCCGCGGGGCGGAGAATTCCGCCGCCACAGAAGCCGCCGGAGGGTTGATCCGATCCCACAGGGAGACACCGAAGCAGCGAAGAGCGACCCAGCGGGCCCAGCGACCCAGTGGACGTGGAAAGACCTTCAGAAGCGACCCTTTCGGGGGAGGATGAGTGGAGGATGAGTGGAAAGAGGCTTCCCGGCTTCTTTCTTTTTCTTTCCGAGTTTCGGAGGCTCCGGTTTTCAAGCCTCCAAATGTAGGAAGGACACCCTCACTCGCCCCCCCCCAAAAAAATGTCCCTACATCAAACCCATCAAGACATCCAAAGCATCGGAGCATCGGCTCACCTCTGTGGAAGAACCTCCTGCTTGGAAGAACCCCTTGCTTGGAAGAACTCTGCGAACAACGGAAGATTTTAAGATGTTTCTTTGAGCTAAGAAGTAGTTTGACCATGTTTCTTACCTACACTGACCTTTGAAATCAACACCCCTTAAATGATGTATATATATATAGGTCAATAGGTCAAGCGCGTGTTGGAGCGTGTTGGTCTACCGTCGGCGACGGTCTAAGCTGCAGCTCCGTACGGTACACGGGCGTGTGGCACATGCAGCATCACCCGGCGGGTCGGCGTCACCGAGCGAACCGCCGAACTCCTCCGAACCGAACCGTCGAACCTCGGTGGCCGCGATCCGAACGAACGAACGACACCGGGGGGGTTTGGCCGGAGCCCCGGGGAAGAGTTGCACATGAACACCGTGCCAGCTGAAGTCAGTACGTGACCGAACGTTGGGTCCCAGCCAGTGACCCTTAACTACCCTTCGTAGAGGGAACACAGCACCTATGTGGCCCTCAGATCTCTGGCGTCTCTGGCATCTCCCTGGGTCACGTACGAGGCGAACCAGGTGGAGATGTTGACTCCTTGGATTCTTAGTCCGATTTGCACCGACAGAAAGTCAGATACTGCAGGATGTGACCTGAGGTGTACAGTACACACGTTCGGTGTTTTCGGTGGGTCTCAACGAGGAGAGTGCTCCAAAGCCCAAGTTTTTTGGGGGTAATATGCCGTACCGCTAGATTGTCAAAGGCTGCTTCTTGATCCAACTTGATATTGTTTCAACTGTATCTCATCAGTGCCAAGATCCCAGGACTTCTTGTTAATCCTAAAAAGTACGACCCCTTTGCATTGTGTGCCCTTCTGATGAAACATGATGAACCGGCTTTGTGGCAGAATTCATTGTCGCCCTGGTCTTCGTGCACACGTGCACTGTGCTGTCCAGGTGCTGTCGATGGCGTGCTTTGCCTTCATGAGACTTGGCCTACGGTTCAGAGCACACCCTGGGAATCTTTACAGGGTTGATTGGAGGACCTTTCTTAAAGAAACACCCAAGCTCACCAAGAAAGGACATGACTTAGGGGGCATCTCTTTTGCTCACCAAGAAAGGTGCCCAGTGATGGGAATGTCGCCTCTGCCCCGCGGTGCTCCACGGCGAGCCTGGGTTCCCTGCAGACGAACTGGTTCGGGTCGATCGGGAGGTGGTCAACATCGGCCCAAACGACGTTTTCCGGTGAAGAACGCTTTGGTTGGAGATGGGGCAAATGCAGTGTAGCCACATTTTGGGTGGTGGTTTGGATGATTGGTCAATTTCCATCCCTGACGAGAAAAATGATATCTATCTCAGGTGGCAGGTTATTCTTGCAATTCGTATCCTCAGGGGGGTTTACATTAAACAAATACAATATCATACTATATATATCATTGATATCCCGGAGTAGATAGAATATGCACCAATCCAAAAACATTACCCGTTTCCAGCGGTTTCCTATAGTTTCTTTTTTTCCGCATATTCTCTTTAGTCCAGGATGACAATGACCCTGCGTACCATCTTCCAAGGCTTCCCATTCACACCAAACCGGTCTACTTCGCCGCGAACCGCGGCCCTTCGCCGCGGCCTTGCGCCGCCGAGGACACACACCAACTCCCCAGAGATCGCCCTGCGCTTCGCCGGCGGCCCATCAGCGGCGAAGCAGGTGCTCCGTGCGCAGACGGCGGTGCTGTGGGCAGCCGCTTCAGCGGAAGACGAGGGTGCTGGGGCCACGAGTCGGTCGAGACTCTAGACTGGTCTTCGGATTTTAAGAGGGGTCAGTCAGGTCTGGGTGCTACAGCAGTAGGGGGACCTTCGTGGAGATGAGTCTTCTCTTTGGGGGAGGCCTTTGAACTCATTTTAGAATACATGCAGCCCAGCACAGGGCAGGGATAGACCCCAGGGCGGAACCAAATCAGCAGTTTGGAGTCTCAACAACTGATCTGTTCCAAACGGGGGAGTTTGGTTGCCATGGAATCTTCACTGGGTGTTATTTATGGTTGTCAAAATCTACAGTGACTCTTGGGTGAATATTCTCGCAGGATTTTTCATGGTCGCTGTGCCATGCAGATGGACAGGGGCTTGGTGGACACGCGCGGCCCTTGGGGGCGGGTGGGATCTGACGAAGTCCGATTCGGTGATGAAGGCGTGAATAGCCACCAAACATGAGGGGTTTAGAGGGAGTGGTTTGGAACCGGGATGGCCAATATGATATAGCTGATTCTTGACCCTAGGGCCCTAATGGGCCCTAGACCACCTCTTCCCATCAATATAGGAATCTAATGGTTCAAGAAGTTCAAGAGCCGCATGTGTTGAGGGAGAGTCCGCACCACGCAAGCCAGTGGCACCAAGGTCTATTGCGGAATTGCTGTGTGCGGCTACCTCTCCTTTTTGGACGCTAAGATCTCATGGAGGGCAGTTGAGGGGTGCTCGTGGCCAGAGATTGGGCATGGCCAGTGCTCGTGCACTTGAAAGTCTCCAGGATTCTTTTGCTTCTCTTGCAGAAGTCCAAAGAGGGTTTTTTCATTTGGGAGGTTCAAAGACAGAGTTTTAAACGAGTCTTCGACTTGTAGGTTCAAAGTAGATGGCACAAACCCCAGACTGCCAGTGACCAAGTGGACTGTTTGTGATCACAAGTGGTGCCCTGTGTCATCCTGAGTCCGAAGCAGTTGAAGCCTTCCGTGATCAAATCGCTCGCGCTCCGGCAGGCAGGGTTCAGCGGGTTCGGTGGGTCCGGTGGCTAAGGGTCCTGATGGCACCACCAGTAGAGTTCACCCCCTGTTTGAAAAGGGTCTCCCCAAGTACCCTCCGTTGTTGACTTCCGAAGTGAGAGCGTATCCGTGGTCGTTTTGGAACACGACAAGGGCAAAAGATGGTTGCAGCAGTTTTTTTGAAGCAGTTGCTGAAGCAGTGGACTCGGACTCGGGGATTTCCAGCTGATTTGGATCTGAGGAAGACACCAAGCAAGACTTCCTGACGAACTACGATGTTCAAGACAAGCTCATTGTGATGTGCCGATGTTTGCTCTCAGTGACGCTGGTCTTCGCTTGCCCGCTGAACATGTGTCGTGGATGAACACGATCGATCTTGGGGGAGGTTCTCATGGCATAAACCAGGGTATGCCCTGGTGTAGGGCCGCTGGCTGAAGATCTATTCATGTTTTGGTTTGGAACGTCCAGCAACATGGTTGAACCGATGTGGTCGGTTCGGTTTGCGCGCTTTCTTTGGCGACTTGCATTGCATGCATGCAATATGTGTCCATTCAGTTTTGCAAGGTTTGACCCGTGGCCACGTGTGCATATGCACTATATTGCGGGAGTTGCCCTACGAGGTTACAACCCCTCCGGGATGCATGGTGCAGGCTTTTTCCAGTCAGAAGGCAAAGGCAAGAGCACACCCATCTTCCAACTCATGAGTTGTTCGACCATTTCATTGGCAACTCGAGCAGAGTCTCTTTGCAAAGGAGGATCCAGGTTGTCGCTGGGTCTTCAGCGCGCCGAAGGTAAGGAAGTCACGCCGCACACATCCAGCAAACTGTTCCACAAACCCCTGAGCATCAGCGCCATTGACAGCTTGAAACGGCCTTTGGTCCTGCGCACACTATGTGGCACAATGTGCAACAATGAGTTGGGAATCACACACACTAATCCGTGTATTCATGTCCTACAGGCGTCTTCTAGCCAAACCAGACATTGAAGGCTGTTGCTCGGGAATGTTGCTTAGTGGACTATTCTTGTTGGCAGTGTGCTTGGGCGGGTAGGGCGCCAAACACGACCCGCTTGCATCCCTTTCAGTAGAGATCTTGGGACCCAGGGTTTTCCGCAAGAACTCCAAACCACCAGAACTCCTTGTGAGGAACAAGCGAAGACACTCCCCTTCAGTCTATTGATCTATGATCTCGTTTATACTCCGGCGAATGTGCGGACCTGTCGTCAGTTCCAGTTCATCAGGGATCGATTCCTTTTTCTGCTACACGGGTGAGAGAACGGGGGAAGAGAACTATGGTGTGATTGTCCGAATAGACCTGCCTATCCTGCTGCACTTGGAAAGCAAAACACCAAACTGCGTATAGTTGCTTATCTACCGGAGCTGAGCCCAGAAGATCTCACTCGCCTTCCATTTGTTGAGGAAGGGTGCCCAGAATGCCTAGTTAAGCCTTTCACAAGCCTTTCGCATATCTTCCCCACACTTTCGCAAGTCACACCAGCTATTTGGGTTCTGCTTCTCCTTTATTCAATCCGCTCCCCCTCACCTTTAGCACGCACGCGCCGGCCATACCCTTCAGTACCCGCCGTTCCCCCGCGCCCACAGGTTCCCGGCAGTGCAGGCGTTGTTCAACGTTTTGGAACACTTCCGCCCGCCGCATCGACATCACGAGGGGCTCTATGAGAACGATCTGGTGCGGGTGCCGGTGAGCACCTTGGCCTTTGCCATCACCTTGGGGGTGGTGCCTTGGATTTAAGCTCAAACGGAACGGAACGGGGGAAGAACATGGGAGGGAACCAGCGGAATTGGAGGGAAATGGGCTGAACAGAAATGACGTGCTTATTTTCTTTTGCAGAGCACCTGGTGGGTGTGTGGGTATCGTTTGTCTTTTTGGTGTTTGGGATCATGATGGATCATGTTTGCATTTTGTAGCCTTGGATTGGGTCCTTAGGCTTGCTTGGGTTGGCAGGGAATTGCTGGGAGAGGAAGAATGGGGGAGGTCGATGTGGCAGAAAAACTGGGGGGGCAAACTCTTTACTTTTTGCGATCCCGCAGCTCGGTGTTTGCAGCCTGAGTCCCACCTTTGGGAAGTTTACAACCTAACATCTACAACTTATGGGAGACCCTTTCATTCTTGAGGGTTTCCCAAAAAGTGCTTCATCTTCAACCTTTGATCTCTATAGAGAGCCTTTTTCATATCCATCACCGTTTCACTATTCTTCCCTTCCCCAAACGCCACGGTCCGTGGTTCTGCGCCGTTGCCAGTGCCGCCTTCCGTTTCGGCCGTCCAAGGCCTTGAAGTCGCCACATGTGGCCGATCTCATCTCGACCATCAGCGCCTACTTCTCCTCGCCCTTGATGTTCGCCTTCCCCGCGGTGATGCACTGGAAGATCTTGAGGCCGCCACCGGGACGACGGAGCGCGCACTGGGGCGGAAGACGACGACCGCGTGGACGGACGGCGTTGGTTCGGTGGGTTCGGTGTCAGAGTTCCTGGTGTCGGTGAGCACTCAAGAAGCTACCTGAAGGCGGAAGAACACCCGTGAGTAAGCTGAAAATGACTGAAGTCTGTACTGAAACCTGTGTAATACAAAGAGTTCCTTAAATATTTAGATGTTGAAAGCCACAACATTTGGATCATTGAGTAACATGTACCTTGATGCCGTTTCTGAGGGCTGAGGGTTGGGAAAAACAAGAAGTTCCCACAGCAGAGAAGGGAACTATATACCAGCAGTCACAAGACGGGGTGCCGAACTTGGAGGATACGGGTGCCCATAATCACGAAAGCTAGCATCAGCTAGCTGGAGTTGCTCTTGCTTTAGCAAGTCAAGGGCTCGCAGCCTCGAGAATCATGAATCACGTGAAAACTTCACGTGTAGGGGGGGCCCCCCCCCCGCGGGTTCAACTCCCCCCTGGGACGCTTCCGGTACGTGCTATAGTGCTATGTTTAGGTGGCAGGTGAAGTAGGCCACTGTTTCAGTTTGGAAGGGGGGGGCATCAAACATGAAATTTACGCGAGGGTTCAAGGCTTCAATGATGAGCATCACGGGAAGTCAGAAACCAGGCGTATCAGATACACGTGCCTTTGAGCTTCCTTCGGCATCTCAGTGCATATATGGCTGACACTTCACTCGACAAAGATGCTCAAACAAACATACATAAACCAGGTGTATCTGATACGCCTGGTTTTTGACTTCCCGTGATGCTCATGATGCTGCGTTGCTTTTCTTCAGTCCCTCATTACATATACATGACGATCCAACAGCAGATTCAACAAGCTCACATGTTCATGACATCGACATCGATAGAAGAAACCAAACAAATCATGCAAGCAGCTTTGTTTTGCCTCTGGGACACCTCTTGGGCACCTCTTATGGCATCCACACTGGTTCAACTCCTCCGTGGAGGTTTTGGGATACGGTGCAACAGATTCAACAAGCTCACAGGTTCGTGAACACATCGGATGCATCGAACAGTGTGGCAAAGTCCAGCCACGCTTCCTTAATTATCGGGGACTTCAATTCTAAGGTTGGCTGTGTCATTGCTGTTTGTGTGTCTTACATGTTCACAACGTTTTACCTCATGAGCATTTGCCTCACTCCGCTTGATGTCCCACCAGTCCGGATGCACCCCTGCTAGCTTTCGTCACCTACCCTCGGCCTCAAGTCCACTCACTTAGCGACTAAAAACCCACCCAACTCCATGTGACTCCTGGTGCTACCGATCTGCCGAGCTTCATTTTCCAGCTTCCTCCAGCTTCTTTGACACGGCAAACAACCAATTCCCCTGGGCTTTTGAAGGCGCGGCCCAAATTCAATTCCCTGGCTGACGTAGACCCAGCTCTGGCCATATCCAAAGCTCTATGTGAGCTTCCAGCACAACGTCCATGGAATCCGTACATCTGAGAAGGTTTGTTTTGCTTCCCGGAGATCAGTGAATCCCCACCACCTCCTCCGTTCTCCGAATCGGTGGCGCGCCAGCGCTGTTCCTGGTTCCACAAAGGGGGGGACAGTCAAGCCGAGGGTTGAGGCATTCTCGCTTCCGGCCCCTCCGAAACCGCCCGTTGAAACCGCCCCCGCGAACCAAACCGATTGTGTCGGAGTGCAGGCGAACCAGCAACACCTTACCGGTGCTCTTGCTGAGCATCACTGCTGCGTTGTGGCTGGCAGAGCTGTCTCACTTCTTCTGAGAGGGCTGCGATGTGAAGCTGCTGATGGTTTTGTTCGTCTTCGACGTAGGGCCGGGCCCCGCGGTCGAAGATGCGGTTTGAGCAAGCGAGCTCGAAGCTTAGCTGGGCCCTTGTGAAGTACGCACTTTGACCTGATGGCCCAAGAGCTAAGTACAGCAGCACATGCTTGAAGGGCACAGTCATGCGGATGGTGTGGCATGAAACATGAAAATAATTGAAAAGATCATTGATCTTAAACGCTTTACTTCCTCAAGACAACACCCAGAGGTTCACGGACCCTCATTGCTAGGTTTGGACCATAGCCACATGAGGCGTTCTTCCGTCGGTTGAGAGCAGTACTCTACCTACTCTACTCATCTTCAAAAGCAAACATGACGTATTCCAAGTACATCTTGTACATCTGAGGGCCTTGGCATCTGATTTTGTGTTCTCGCCTGCCTGCCTTCGAGTTCGCCACGGAAAAGGGTGAGTGAGGGTGACACGTCTAGCTGGTCCTTGGAGCAGAGAGGCCTGCTCAACGAAGGTGGTCAAGAGAACCGTGGCTTTTCTTCCTCTTGTGACTGCACGCTGCTCAGACCTGCCATTCGAGGTCTGAGACAAGTAAACCAGCTCACTGCAGGTTCCCCTCAAGACCCGGTGGTCCGAGCTGGAGGAGACCAGGAGACCATGAGACGCAGCATATGTTTTTATGGTTGACACATCTTGGACCGGCAAGGATGTCCTCCTCGTTTTTTGGATGTCCTTACTTGGGGGGGGTTCAACCTTTTTGTTGCCCTTCATGGTACGTCCTGGGGAAACGGCGGGGGAAACCTTGATTGAAAGGGTCGGAGCACGCGGTCCGCCCCCGAGGATCACCTGCGGTCCGAGTCCCCCCGGGATTTCGACAGAACGAACACGTCATGACACGAACAGGCAGTTGGACGGTACAGGCCCCCCGGCGAACGACGATTTTTCTGAAAATACACATGTTTTGTTCACTTCTATCATGGTGGTGTGTTGAAGTATGTTGGATAAGTGAACGATTTTCCTTTGGAATCTTTGGAGCCTTTCTTTGTTCTATCCTTTCAATCGAAAGACGGAGTGGACGGGTTCTGTCCAGCATTCCGTCAGCTATTGCAGGTCACTGACCAATCTGTGACGGCATGTCATCAGAAAAAGCCCTTCACAGACGGGGGAGCATGCCTCGGATTCTTAGCCTTTCATGGTATTTCATTCCACAGTTACAGATGTGACCCGTTCATCATGCATCCAGGGCCATGTGACAGAAGCTAAGTCAAAAATCACAACGCAAGATCCATTCCAGCTTATCACAACGCTTATGTCTTCTCCCCAGCAACCCAAAGATCGATCTCTCCCAGCTAGATCCCGAGCCCCTGAGTGGACTCCCCAAGCGGCCGCTGTCGGCGCCACCCCCCAGGTCCACGCGGCGCAACGAAGGAGGTCCAAGCTCAGCAAGGCACCGATGGCACGGACCACGGAAGTGACAGCGCTCGGCTCGGACACGGCGAGGGTCTGGTGGGTCGGTGATCAGGAGGTGTTTGGCACTGCCGGAAAACAGCGGGAGTGTCTGGCGCCAGTGAGCATGGCGTTTTGGGGGAGGGTCCTCTGACACATTCTGAAACACACGTTCTTTTTTGGTTAACGCGGAGAAAGCCTAGAAAGCCGCAGAAGATTTGCACATCATCTTCAAGAATCCAGGTGATGTCGATGTATTTTTCTTTTTTAACAAAGTGGTTAGTACGTGCAGCATCGCAAAAAGGCGATCTGGTGAACCGGATTTTGCTCCTCACCAGAAGGTTCCACCCAACAGAAGCATCCCAAAGGGAACCCCTGGAACTCTTGCAAAAATGGACGATCTTGACGGTTCATGGTTCTGTTTATGGTTTCGTCCATGCCATTCAGTTGGATCCTACCTTTGGTTTGGTCCGTGTTCACCTGGACAGACATCAAGAGACTCAACAAGAGACATCAGCCGACCAGCGCCGTGTGAAAACCTGGCTGCACCAGAGAATAACCACTCGCTATCGTTGGATCTGGGGAGCGCTGATGCGATGATGGTGTGCTTCCACACCTTCATTCTCTCTTTTTTATGGCCTAGCTTACCTTACAGCCTTATACAACTATAGTCTATAGTTGTGCTCTCAGATATTTCGTGTCTCCTGAAGTTCTCCTCCATCAAGGGACCCCCCAAAAAGGAGGTCACCGGATGTCGCATTTTCTCCCAGAAGCTCCACTCACTGGTGCACCAAACCTCTGATTCACTGGAGCATGTGCAAAAAAGACACGGAGGGGGGGCGATCGTTCGTAAACTCCGCGGGACATGTTCACATGTTCTTGGAGACCGCGACGCTGACCAGCCTAGCTGGACCCGGCGCTCCGCAGCGTGGTGTGAGTCGCGAGGCCCTGGGGAAGCCGCGGACGGTGCGGAGGGCGGAGGCCGATGCGGCGGAAGGCGAGGGCGGGTCTGGGGGTCTTTGGTGATGGGATGGATGGAGGGAACACGCTGAGAAAGGCGTAGTGGGTGTTCTATTTTTTTGGGGGGGTAGCCGTGGTAGCAAGAGGTATGGCAAAAGGCCTGATTTTGGGTGACACAAATTGGCCGACATTGGCCTGCCATTGATGATGGTTTCGAAGCTGAAAGGGATTGAATCCAACCTTCCAAGGTTTTGGAGGAGGAAGAGAAGTCATGAAACCGGACTGGTCGATTGCATGACGCTAAATTGCCGCTAAAGGTAGCGACCATTGGACAGGTGTGTCAGCGACCTGAGATGACCTGACGTGAATAGATTGAAGGTGCTGGAAAGGGGAGCTTCTTCATACAGTAACTGTTCAAGCAACCGACACTCCAATGGAAGGTTGCCAAGATGTATCAAGATCAGTGAACCATCGATCTACTGTATGTAGTTTCTCTTTGGAAAGACACCCTCTGCCCGACCACCGCCCCAAGGGCTTACCACCCCCGGCGCCAAGGAGGTTCCACCGTACCCGGCCGCGGTGGACGTTCCATCCGGTGTCACCTTCGGCGGAACCCGCGGTGCCAGGCGAGTTCGCCAAGCCTTTCCCCTTCTCCGCGGTGGTGGGCCGAGGGACCCAGTGGACTCGAGAGCGAAGTGGACTGCTGAGAGGGTCAGGGTCACTCATGTTCTTCTTTTTTGCGGCCTGCAGGTAAAAAAAATCTTTAAGCCATGTGCGAATTGTCATGGAAACCCTAACCAAGACCATCTCATGGGTATCCAATGAAGATTCCAGATACACGTGGATACATCCGTGGAATGGGTAGTCCACAAAGGACACCCGGACCCTCTTCCAGGACTGTTGGTCTCTTGAATTTGGTCCAGGGATGCTGCTGTTGATCCTGCCAGGGCGTCAGGGATGCTGAAGGAGACCCTGCCAGGTCCACCAGAGACGGACCGCATTCCCTGGCTCCGCCATGGGTTCCGTAGGAACAGTGAAGGGCTGGAAGACCGTGTTTTCCGGAGACCAAACAGGTGGGTTGGAGGGGTAGGAGTCCTACCCTGGCGTGATGCAGTGCAACGGGGAGGACCTCGGAGTCCGGAATTCCCAGCATGTCGACGAATTCGCCGTCTGAAGAGACCTCCGTGATCCTCCATGAGCCTCCGAAAGACTCCCATCGACCACATGGAACCCCAAAACCACGTCGGGTTGTGGAGTAACTGGTCGAAACCACTGGTCAATTCTCAGGTTCCATGCTAGTTTGCGGGGGGGTAACACCAATTCTCCTGGGGCCAGTCATATCTGTTGACAGTGGAGTAACGCTCTGGACTTGATAATAAGGAAGCAGCCAAATCGTTGACACTGGAGCAGCCATAGGTATCCTCCGATCCTGGGTTTGCTCTAGAGATCCTCTAAGGTGCCGGTTATGGAAGGTACCCCAATAGATACTCAGCTACTATCCAGCACCACCCAATTTGGTTGGTGTATAGACACCCCTGACTATCTATTTTCCATCCAATAACCACCCGAAATGGGTGGTGCAGTGGTGCTGGTAGTATCTCTTAATATCTCTAGGGAGCTTTTCTCCTGCCTTTGCCCCCACATCACCGTCATTCCGACATGCCTTTGCAGTGATGGCGCCAGACCTTCCTGGCGCATCTGCCGCATCGGTGTAGCCACGCGGACCGGAGGCCAAGAAGAGATCAAGTTGGCGCTCCTCCTGAACCTGGCCCCTTGGGGGGGCGATGGATGCGGGGGGCTTTGTCACCGTTTGATGTATTTTTTTTCTCACGGGAACATCAACAAGAAAGCCACAGTTTGGGGGGGTGAAAACTATGTGAACACCGTGGTTTCCTATATATCATAGATGTTCCCTTTAACCAATCCGTTGGATGTGGCGGATTCACTGACGGCTTCTGGACGACTGGACGAGAAGGGGGAAGTGAGCAATTGAATCCAATCATCCAATGGACCACAGGGTGAGACTCGTATAGGCTCATGTATAGGGTCAATTGGTGTCCTTTCCCTCATTTTGTTTCACTGAGATTTGCAGTAACTCAGTATATCCTCAGCTCATGGATAGGGTCAACTTCGAGTTGAGGGGCTATCTGGAAGAATTTGTTGCCGAGAAACACAGGCCAATCTCCGACTCCAGAAGACAGCGCACGGTTGCATTTTTTCAGGTGCAAGTGCTTTTGTAGATCGCCATTTTTCAGGATTTTGAAGGACAAGCAAACACAAATTCTGTAGAAAAGCGGCCAGACCATCCAGCTGAGAAGCGTGGACCAACATGGTGCTCCCCCCACCGATGGAGATGGATCCTCAACGAAACATACGAAACTGCTTGAGAACTTGAGGCCTGCCCAGAGGTTTGTCATGTTTGAAGCTCATCTCCCCGACAAACAATTGGAGGACGTTCAGAAGCAGGGGAGACCAACACAAAAAGAGCTTGCACAGGAAAAGTGGAACACCCTTTACGTAACCCTTTGGGGGGATGATTTCCCCACAGAAAATGGTTGACATATTCCCAGACACTCCATGTATGCCATCTTTGCCTACATTGACCCCCAAAACCACCCCAATGTAGGCATATATGGCAGTCCCATGGGGTCTCTGGGATATGATTTAGTTATGATCCAAGGAAACCGAGGAGGTCGGTCGAAGAACACCAAACATCATTTTTTTCCGTTGGATCCGGGGTGAGTGACTCCATGGTTTCCCCGGAATCCATCAATCCCTAGGGATCCGTTTTCGTACCGAACCTCAGGTACGGTGAGGACGGAGACTATTTATGTATATAAGCTTGGAGGGCCCTGTCATACCTTCATGTACCTTCTGAGAAGGTATGTGGATCTCTACAAAATGAGGTCTCACAAGGATTCTTCAGGATTTTTTGACGGGAATACTCTAATACTCTTGTTTGATCATGTTTGGGTCGCTGTCAAGTTCTGTAGAGTCTGGATCACGAAGCTGGGCTGAACATATCTGGCGCCGGACCAAAAACGCAGAACGCCTCACTTCGTTGGCCTCACTTTCTTGGACCCACAATCACCTCCAGCACCTGCTTCCAGCACCTGCTTCCAACACCTGCTTCCAGCACCTGCTTCCAACACTTGCTTCCAGCACCTGCTTTTGGATTGAATGCCAAGTCCTGATCCCTTCCAGCCCTGAGGGCCACAGGCCCTTCCAGCCCTTCAGACCTTCAGCAAGGCGTTTCAATCCCAGACCTTCTCCAGACGCTTCGCCGATGCGGAACCGCGCGCGGGCCGCCAGGTGGACCCTTCCATCGGTGGCGTCATGATCTCCGGTGACCGGGGAACAGGCCGATCGCTCCGAAACGGGACAGGAGGAGATCGAGGCGATCGCTTGAAAAAGGCGACTGGAGCGACTGGAGCCACCATGCTTAGTGATTTGCTTCATGTGTTGAAGGCATCACCGGTTTCTCGGTGGCAGTGGATCCACAGGGAAGTATGCTGAGAAATGCATGTCCAGGACGATTGGTGGTGTACCGGTGGTTTTGGTATAGGTGGGTGGTGGAGCAACTCGAGACAGACCAGCGCAGGACCATCCTTGACGTGAAGACAGACCCTCGCTTCGAATTTTTGGATTTTCCATAGCAGGTAATCCGGACTGCGGACTGTCGATTGATGAACACCCTCAGCGGAATTTCTGTTACATCTCCATTTATTCATCAATTCGTCTACCATTATGGTGCAACTTGGGGATTTGTCATATCAGTGACATGACCATGGCTTCGATGCGTGTTTAGAATGTGAAGATGCTTTTTTGTTGCCCACCGGCAGGCAAGTCGACCACGGTGCGTGGTATGGCAGGGGGACCTGAGAAGCGAGAGGGGAAGGTTGTGCAAGGAAGTGAAGTGTGGAAAAGACGCTAATTTGTCCATATTCCAGCAGTCACGTTCGACGGGGTGCGATCCATGGAGGTTTGGGGTGCCCCTGTCACATCCACTCACTGGATGGGACTAAAAACCACCCCTTTGTGACCCCTGGTTTGTCCTTTTCAGTCCTGATCTGTTGTATGATATGTGAGGTTCAGCCGGTCTATTCCTGCCTACCACCCTCTCCGAGCGGTGTAAAAGAAGCGAGACTCGTTTTTGCTTTCGGATCCTGCAAACTGGTCCAACATGGAAAGACAGGCTCCTCACAGGCATTCTATACCAGTGGACTGGTATACCTATAGAAAGCCTGGTTCCGAATCGAAAAGGGTACCGAATGGACACCATGGCTACGACCTGCGGGTCCCTCAGTCTGATCATGATCCGCCCCTCCACCAAGTGGCTGCCTGATCCTACTCAGAAAGGACCCACTTGTTGGACAACAATCACCCCCAGATCTTGGATGAAGATGCCAAGATCTCCATGGCAAAGCCTCTTCACTCTTCCAGTTGTTGTTTTCCAATCTTTTTCTGGGTGCTTCACATAGATGAAGATGCTTCACTCCAGTTGTTTTGTCCTTTTTGGCCTCCGCACCGGTCGGTCGCTTCCACCGAGGTCCGGCTCTTGCCCAACATCGACGTGGCCCGGCACCTCAGCCGCCCGCGGAGAGGCGCCGGGACAGATCTCCTCTCCCCGAATCTCAGGCAATGTGATGTTCTTTTTGTATAATCTATAATATAGTAATACCAAATAATACCAAATATATCAGGTATTACGTATGGAATTTACTTAATTATTCGTTTTCCCAGTTGCCACCCCAAAAGAGGCAACTCAGCCCAGCGCCGGTGGTAGTGGTGGTGCTGGTGCTGGTTCTCTAATGAAGCAAGTCTCACAAGAACCATGAGGTTTGTTTTTGAAGCTTCAAGGAAGACTTGAATTCGTCTCACCCTTGACAGGAACCGACCTTCCCAATCTCGTCTCTCCAGGGTGGCCCCCAGCAGTTGCGGGTCAATGCCCGGCCTCGGATTGTTGATCCTGCGGATTTGGTGGAATTATGTGGAGATGTCGGTTTCCCCAAACCGGACCCCAAACCATTTGCTGTAGATGCACAGTCAGTACCTGATTTTGGCAGCCCAGTCACCACCTCTCCTCCCAGTCACTGTCCCTGACCTGGCACGACTTTTGGCAGGTGGAGAGCGATCCCTACAACTCCTCCGCAGAGGATGTGTCCCTCATGAGCGAAGAGGTACCTGAAGCAATCCCCGACATGAGCGAAGGGGGGCACATGGTTGCGCCCTCCGGCCCCGGGTGTTCGGTCCTATCACCGGCCATCCCGTCCGCCATTCGGCGACGAGTCCGGTCCCATGGATGGTCTGGGCTTCAACATGGCTTCTGGATCCACATGCCGGCTGCCGGTCGTATTTGGAGAGACATTTGGATTATATGGCATGGAGGTCTACAGTCGTATTTTCTGAGGTTCGGTGGCAGTGGATCCCTTAGGGTTCTATCATCCATCAATGGCAGAGTGGCAGAGGTACGGATCCGCATGACGTCGTTGATGTGGATCCCCAGGGCTATATTCTCGCCGGGTTTTTCGGGTGTTCTGTGGTGGTTTCGTTGGCAACGCGTATACCGGTGCATGGATTTAATTACTCTGCTGTAAGGTTGGACAGAAGAGTCGTTGGGGTGGTGTTTCTCTAACACGTTTAGGGGAGTATAGAAGTTTTGGGGCACCCTAAAAACAACCGCCCAAGAAGCATCCCAACATGGAACCTGATGAGAGAGCTTAGCTTGTTGGGGGTTTGAGCAATGTTGACTGATGGTTACTACCTCTCGTTTTTTGTGTTGAGGCAGATTTGAGGGTTCCTCTCGGACGGTGCTCTTTGACATTTCACCTTGGAATCTGAGCGGGACAGACGGCGCCGCCCCCCGCACCCATGCAGGTACAGGAGCGCGTGGAGAAGGGGGAGAAGTTGAAGGTCACCCAGAAGCAGGGAGGCCTAGGAGACGGAGGAGAGGACATGAGTGAAGGTAAGTGAAGATGGGAGACCACCGACTATATTGACGTTGGAGTTCACCATCTATAGATGGTGGTTGCTCTAGGTCGTGTCAATTCTTTTCAGAGGTCAATGAGAGGGTGGTCGCTTTCCTACGGAGTGTTTTTCTTTGTTTAAAATGTGTTTTTTTCTCGCGCACCAACTTAGTGAACTTCAGGTGGTTTCCCTATGTGCGCTGTCATCCTGTGCCGGATACAGCTCCGGAAAGGCGGAACGCCATGCTCCGAGCGGAGTGCCGCTGGAGCTCGGTTCCTGTGCCTTTCCCAAGGCGCACACCCTTTGTGGAGCTGCCCCTGGGCGCCACCGAGGACGAGCCTGGTGTACCCACCTTGGTGGAGTTCGCGGGTGATGGTCACCCACTGGCTGGAGTAGTTTTCTGTTTCTTTTTAATCCCAAACAATCTATGTATGGAAGATGTTCCTACATTGACCCCAACGACATCTGAAAAACACTCCACTGATCTCCAATGTAGGCAACAATTCAATATACAGTTACATGGACTATGAGGGTTACATGGACTACTGGTTCATGTGACCAGTGAGAACGGTCGTTCACCATGAGAGGCGAGGCACACGTGGTTTGGCTGGATGGAGGTCCACAACCCACCTTGACACAGCTGGTGAGGAGGGAAACAAAGCTGCAGAGTTGATATTTGAGCTTAGCAGATGATTATATCAACTCTGATATATTTTTAATACCCCCGCCATATGAAGAGGATTTCAAATTCAAACAGGTGGGTTTATCAATCAAGAATCAAGAGTCTACATTGGGTCTTTCAGATGTACTTGAAGTCCTTCTATGTCATGCTCAACAAGAAACACCAAGAGTTGAGATACGTCCACAAACGTCCAAGATCGATGACTCATGTTCCCAACCAGGCAAACCAGGCCCAGTGCGAGTTGACGTTCTTCTTTCTTGAAACAGTTACTGCAAGAGTCAGGTGTTCAATGCATGATTTGGAATCCCTAGCCTAGTAGTAATATCTATGGAATTTGTTATACTTGCATTCACAATGCTTGAGAATCTCTATTGCATGTCTACTGTAGGGCCTCTAGGGTTTGCATGGAGATCTTGCACACAAGTGAGAACACCAAAAAGACCCCCAGATGATGGAAAGGTAGTCAAACGCCTTGTGGTTTCCTTCAGCAAAACACTGGGTCCCAACACCTAACTGCAGAAGGGTGCAAAGTTCAGACCGTGAACCAGCGGATGGGGAGTTCTCTTCTTCATTCAGTTTCACCACTTTTGGGTCTTCGGTCCACTCAAAAGCCCAGGATATCAGAGTGACACCCTGAAATCAGGTCGACCTATGCTATTGCACACGACCACTCTAGGCCTCCCCCCCATCCGCATGGCTTGTGAAACGACCAAACAACACCTCGTGTCGTCCCGTTGCCGTTGCAGGACCGTGTCACGGGCACCATCGACATCGAACGTGCACTGAAGGAAGCTGGCAAGGCGCCAACCGCTTTGGTGCGGTTGGAGCATGGTAGGTCGACGCCATTTTGGTTGGGGGTTTGCAAACACCAGCATTTCTGTTGAAGTGGATGCCAGTTCTTTCGCAAGTTCACCCAGCGTTTTCTGATCTCCCACCTCTCGGAACCTGTCGGAACCCGTTTCCGCAGTGCGCGGTGCTTAAGCGCAGTGTGAGTCAATACAGTACCCATCGACGTCGTGTTGTTGGGAAACACCGTTTGCAGGTCAGGAAGGGACCTCATTTTGACTAATAGCGATGGCCTCCAACCTGAAGTTGATCACACCAAAACTCTCTCCCCGGTGCCCACGTGAGGCGTTTGAGCCTGGGATCTTGGCACGTGTGAACCGTGGCATCCTCTACATCGATGAGGCGATGATGTGGGCGCTCTTGGGCGGTGGGACCGAGCTGGCGACAACAGTCCAATACAATGCGAGCTGCTGATACTGGCAATAACCGTACATACAGTATACATACAGTTATACTATAACAGTGTTTGCATGTGTTTGCGATTGTTTGGTGAGGAGGTGCTATCGCAGCTCGCACATCAATGCATCAAGCAATCAATCAATCGACGCGGAAGAGGTCGCAGTTAAGGAGTAGCATGTGTTTTAAATAGAGGAGTAAGTTAAATGATCATATTTGATCTATATGCCAGGGTTTGGTCCCTATTCAATTGAAGGGATCCTTCGAAACCCAAATAAATCATGGAATCCATGCTTTGGTTTTGGGAGCCTTACAAACACCATCACCCTCAGCCCATCACCCTCAGCTATCCCAGCAGTGCCCGGCCCATACGCGTGCCCCGGCCCATACGCGTGCCGCCGCGTGCCTTTGCGTCCTCTCCTCTTGAGTATTCTCTCAGGTGTACTCTTAGACTCTTAGACCCTTAGTCCATTTGATTCTCTCAGGTGTACCCTTAGACTCTTAGACCCTTAGTCCATTTGCTTTTCTCTCAGGTGTACTCTTAGACTCTTAGTCCATTTGCTTTTCTCTCAGGTGTACTCTTAGACTCTTAGACTCTTAGTCCATTTGCTTGAGAAGGGACTTCTTACACCATCTTACACCAGGAGTCACGTTCGACGGGGTGCTTCATGGAGGAAGTCGGGGTGCCCCTGTCACATCCACTCACTTCTCTGACTAAAAAACCACTCCTGTGTGACTCACCGAAGGTTATTATATGTTATTACATTAATTTAACCCCTCCTCAGAAGGTATCTGGACCCTCTGAACCCACCCCAAACACCTTCTGAGAAGGTACTTGGAGCCCTAAGCAAAGGACCGGGCCGGTCAGATCAAAGTCCTTTCCTCTCTCCGTGCCGCGGACCGCGGGCCGACCGCAACCGGGGCCGCACCTCTGGGGGGCTCGACGGGCGCCACCGGTCCGCTCAGTGCAACCTGCTGGATGACCAGTTGGTGGACGTCTTGCTGGACAGTGCGGCGGGTGGCGTGAACACCGTGGAGCGTGAGGGTGTCAGCTGGGAGCCCCAGGGGCGGTGGGCGATGGTCAGGTCCCGGGAGGGGGATGCCAAAGCATTTTGGGACCTGGGGGGGGTGGGGTAATCGATGACACCATGTGACCCTGCACTCTACATGAACCCTAGGCGTCCAAGAGTCCAAGATCATTAAAAAAAGGGTTGACCTTGGTGGTTCGGGATTCAGACCATTAAAACGATGCTTGGCCAGGAAGCCTATCGGCATCGCTACGAACGGAGCAAGGACGCTACGAATGGGGCTCCTGGCATCGCTACGAACGTAACAAGCTACGAAACGCGGCTGAGTTTCGTCGAGTTTCACTGGCAGAACTGCCTCTGCCCGGAAGGCGTACGGCACCCGGCGCGCTTCGTGCTGATCGGCACCTCCCACCCGGATGAGGGCGACTTGAGGCTTGGACGAGACCAGCTGAGAAGATCGGCACGAAAACGAACATGGACCCGGGACGATTGGCACCCTCCAAGACTGCTTTCCAGTGGTTTTCAGGGTCTATGTTAGTTTCCAGTGGGGTATATATGGTATACCTACCGGCTTTTACCTGACTGCGCGCCAGGAGTGAAGCTCGGTTGAAGAAAAACCATGTCACTAAAAGGACGTCGACCCGTTGGAGTGGAGTGGATTTCTGCCATGGGCATGGGTTGCAAAAAAAAGAGTGGCAGCCCTCCAAAAAGGACCCCAAGTTTTAAAGTAATTCCCATCAAAAAACATCCTGGTGGAACAAATTCTTCGGCCTGGCAGGTGAACAGACCATTAGACCGCCGATGGGTACAAAATTTTGCCTTATCTAGCTTCACCATCGATTCAAGTGGAAGTGATCAGGCCGCAGCTTCCATTCGTCGTCCAGGACGTGGTGGGGCTCTGAAAGATGAATCGCTTGTGTCTTCATGTTTGCAATACATATCTGTTTATATAGCAAAAACCCGAATGATGAATCAGATGTTTCGCTTGCCGTGTACACCATTAAGCAGTCCATTAAACAACACATGAAGCAAGGGGCTTTTGTTTCGAAGTTCACCCACGCCCGGCACCACCGAGGGGGCGCGAATGCGCGCTCCCACACCGAGCTCTCCGCTCCGCTGCAGGCCGCAGCTCTTGGATCGCTTTGGCCTCACCTGCAGCATCCGCACCGCGCTGGCCGCCGACCGCCGGAAAGAGGCGAGGAATGGGTGGAGTGGTGAGTGGGTGGAGAGTCGTGAAGAGTGGCGGGGCGAGTGAATGTGGACTTTTGGATGAATCATGATGAATTAAACTCCTCAATTACATGAAGAGGTTTTGCAATCCATGTCTGGGGAGGGGGTTTTATGTTTAGAGTCTACGAGGTGGACGAAAGGAAGGCAGTGGCGGCGGTTTGTTTGGTCATGGTAATTGAGGGGACTTTACTTTTTTCTGCAGAAATGGGTTGTGCACATGCATAGGCGTTCTTCTGGTTGATATTGGTTGATGGGGTTGAGTTGGTGTGCAACCTGCGCCTTCTTTTTCAGTCCTCCTTCCTTTCCAGAATTCGAGAGCTCCCAGGAGCTCAGAATCTAACTTCTGACTAGAGACACCTCTTAGCCTCGATGGTGTTACCTAGCTGTGTGACCTGGGTGGCCATCGCCCCACCAAAAAGCCCGTAATTTTAAGAGATGGAGTCCAGCCAACCGCTGAGGGTTGGTAAAACAATTTTTTAGTGATTTCGGAGTAGGAGTTTTCTTGCTATTTTCTCACTATTTTCCTGTCCATGCTCTTTGCTGATCCTATGTCTCCAATCACTTTTTGATTGTTTTTTTCCACATGTTGTACGAACACCCCAACCTATGTTCACTTTTTTCTTGCTGACTTCCTTACTCAGGACCTCACAAAAAAAATAAATCTACATTTCCAGTGGTTGCCTGTCGTCGCAACTCTTAACCATAATTATAACCTAGATCGTCAGATGGGAAGAACTCACGCTCCTCGATCTGGATCTTCACTCACTCACTTCCTCAGAAAGAAGCGCTGGATCACTGGCGGCGCCAGGTGCTGTCGAGGGCCTATGAGTGGTCGCAGAACCCCGAGAAGATCGAAGCACAATGGGCCTCGACGGACCGAAACCAGAAGTGCGCGCAAACCAGAGGAAGTGCGAGGTGAGGGACAGGTGTGTTGCGTTTGAGGGTTCTAAATGTCAGTGACATCCATGTACTGTATTTGAACCTGGAAGGGCCTGAACTCAGAAGGTAGTTTCTTAAGTTCCAAACGACCGAGGTAGTTGGAGGCATAGAGACATTCGGGATACTCAATCGTTGCTTGTCATCCAAAAAGGGATTATGCTTATAATGTACCAGGGCCCCCTAAGGGGTGGCTTATGAACACCCCTTAACCTCTAAGGAGCTTTCATTCGACACCCCTTAGGGGGATGTCAACTTCTACAGGTTTACTTGATTCTGATGTGTAGGTCTCAATTGAATAGGAACTAGGATCCATCTGATGATTGCTGAGGGAAGCATTCTTGGGGTGCCAGGTCAACTTCTTAGAGCACTGAACAACAAATCATCGCAGTGCCAAACCAGTATCCCTCCAAAAAGAACCCCGTGCACGTGCAGCGGGACGCCAAGTCGGGGATGGGTGGTGTGTTCTGACCTGGTGCATGGCCTGAAGAGGAGGACCTGGTGCAGGTTCTTCGGCGGATGAGGTGGCACCGGTTTAGGGGTAGGGTCAGCCGTTGCAGGACGAAGCTTTCAAAAAGCTGGTGGTGGAAGCCAGAGAGAATTTGCTCCTTGGTGATGATGGTCACGACGCGATTCATGTGCCGCTGATATCCGTTGATGTAGTTCTGATGGTGACCTCAAAGTCCTGGATGTTATTTAGATTTTCTCTCAATTAATGTTCATGTGATGTTTGGGATTTCTCGGTTGTCAGAAGAACATGCACAAGTTGGGTTTCAGTAAAGGGAAATACTTGTTCTCGCCAGAATGAGGCCACGAAGCCCGGGCGGAGGTTTCGGCCGTCTAATGGTTCAAAAGAAAGGAAACTTTTTCCAAGAAACTCGGTAATTAGACATGTTTGTCCCACAAGGGGTGGTGAATGGACACTCGGAAAGCTATGAATATAGACACCCCTCTATAGGCGCTATAGGGACCGGTTTAAGGCTTCGACTTCTTCTTTCCTTGGTCAGCGGACCAAACGCAGTCGTGGCAGTTTCATGGGTGACGGGTGGACTAGACCTTCGAAGGCCTTCGAAGTTCAGGCAATCTGCAATCTACCATAATCTACCACTTCGTATGGGAGGCAGTTGAGGGGTCTGGCTTCTTCAACAGTGGACCAAGCATCGTCTCATTTCTGTGATTGACACAGGTGCTGCTACGTGACATCCGGTGAAGGTTCTCCTGAGCTGCTTCAAGCGCTTCTCTCCCCCAATCCCAACCAGTTTTGATGCTTATCAGAACTGAACCTCGCTGTTCCCACGACCGTGGATGGAGGTAGTTGGATGAGAATTTCTACCAGTCAACGTGAAGAGCCTTGGCTCACTCCTCCCCGGTCGTTTGATTTGTTGCTTTGACAACTAAGAGTTTTTGGGAGGCAAAGTCCTGGTTTTCAGCCGCAGTGATTCTGCTTTTTCATCCAAACACAGCGATTCCCCGATAGACATCCGTTGCGCATCGCGTGAGACATCCAGAGACGCCCCTTCGGTTCCCTTCGCGTCTCCGAGAGTGGAAGTCTGCGGATGTCCAGGAAGAATGTGAAGATGCCCCGAGAGTTGGCCTTGGTGATCTCCAAAATCTGCTCCAAGCTTTGGAGCCCAGTTCGGGTCAGAGGTTGGGCCTGGTTCTGGGCCGTCTTTTTCTCCGACACAGAAGAGACGCAATCGCCTTGCCCTTTCGACGAACCGCCAACGGCCCCGCCGCGCCAAGTGCGCGGAGATCTGTAGACCACACGGCCGCCAAGGCCCCCCCCAAACGGGAGGTGAAGCTTCTCCCATGTGATGACCAAGGGACCTTAGTAAAGAAGACTAGGTGAAGCCATGTACCTCAGATAGACATTTTAGAGGATAGGTGATAGGTCAGGATAGTACATTTTTGGGGGCGAAATCCAGCTAGTCATTGATCATATGGAACACAGAGAGATGTTACACGATGCCACAGAGTTCCAACGGGTTCACTACCCAAACCCACCCGTGCACAGAAGGATGTATGGAGGCCCAAGCTTCCATCGCAATGCATCACCAGCACCACCCAAGGGGTGGGCCCCCCCCTTGTGAGCTTGATCGCCAAGCGTTTCTATTTGTCATTCTCTTCCAAAGGCGAGCTTGCTCGCCAGCTTGCTCAGAGCACAGCTTGAGTCCAGGTATTCCTTGAGCCCCGACCACAAACACATGTCTTAAAGATTCTTAAAGGATATACAGTAACAGGTATATATATACGGTCTATATGATTCGGTTATGGATGTTAAACATCTCACTTGGATCTACCCATCGCCGTTGGGTCAGTCGCGGAACCACTCGTCGGTTTCACCTCTCGGCCTCGACCTCCAAGGCTCAACGTCGATGGACTCCGCGGCGACATCGTCACCAACCGAGCGGCGTGTCTCGGGCCGAAGGGAACGTGGCGAAGGGACGAGCGTGGCGAGAGCGGACGTGGGGGCTGTTTGGAGACCCGGCGGTGAGAGGGCGATTTTGGACCCACCCAGGGTGACCCAGGACCCAGGGTGACGCTGTTTGGAGACCCGAGCAGAGGTGGTTTCTGGGCTTCTGGAAGCCAGGAGGCACCTGGAAGCAGGGCGCTGGTTTTCAATCTCTTGGATCTCTTGGCAGCAAATCCCCCAATTTTTCGGGTGGGAACTTTTCAGGGTTTGGTTGTTGTGGGCTAGTGCAAGCACGGCTGTGCCCAAATGGGGCTATTGTTGCTGCTGATGTTTTGTATTTCTTCCCATGGTATTCAAATTCTCCACTCATTGGTTATGCATCAGTTTTGAGGGTATTCCAACATCATTTTGAAAGGTCTATTCCCAGTGCGCAAACAGGTCCAAAACCGTCCAGAACCACCACCACCCCAATTGGTATTCTGTATACTACTCGGACCTTTGAACCAGCCCATGTTCACACGGAGCTCAAACGACTCCCCCGTCATAGGCGCGCTTTGGCAGCCCTGGAAAAGCGAACGGAGGTCACTGAAGAGGCCGGCCACACAAGGGAGGTCGAAGCACCCAAAACGCGCGGGTTCCGGAGGATTTCGGAGGACTTCACATTCAAAGTAGGGAAATGAAGAAGCAATATATATCACCTTCAAGTCGGGGTCACCTGGCTGGAAGCCCCTACACTGCCTAGGGATCTCCAGATAGGACACCCCTTTGAAGGTCCAGGTATAATAGCACATCTCCACCAACACCAGAACTTTGCTGCGTTACTTACGGGATGTGCGTTACACCGCTGCCATGGGTCAGAGAGTCTCTATCCGCTGCGCATGTTTAGATACAGAAGTTCAGACACCAGCCGCCAAGTAGCGGGTGTAAGATGGATGATTGATCATCTGATGGGGAGAGGACGTCGTGCTTGCGAACTGGCAGGCCACCAAGTACGGTAGAATTACACTCTGACAAAGACATCACATGCAAGTGGAAAATGGCCCAGCTCCTTTCCTTTGCAATCAAGGGGCACTTCCATTTCCGATTCAGAGGTACGTTTTTGTTTTTGTTTTTTCTCGTTACGCGGGCGGATCTTGAATACCGAGGTTGTGGAGTCTCCGAGGTCAAGTGCCAAGGTTATATGTCCACCTGACGTTGGGTCCCTTGATTTCCATCGATTTCCGATGTCACATTCTGGGTCTCTGATCAGAAAGGCACCCAGTTGCAGGATTGTGTTTATCCCTGACCCTTCTGAGGTGAGGGGATCCGAGTGAAACACATGCCCATGGGTACTCCAAGAACCGCCCCGACCGTGTATTTTAATAGGCAGACATCTTGATGGCCCAATCGTTTGTGTTTGTTTCCCTTCTTTCACAAGGTTGTTGCCTGGGAGGTTCCCCCCTCAAAAAAATAACAGGTGACCAGGTGGGAATGTGTGCCAACGCTACCTGAACCATCCAAGGGGTTTACCCATGAACTCCCAACCACCATACGCACCGCGTCACCGCCAGGACGTGCGCCGTGTCACCGTGCTGTGCCTGCAGCACCGGCTGCGGAAGGCGCTGATACTGTATCCGGGGGATGGGCGGGGGTGCACCGCATGGTGTATCAGCCATCGGCCTGAAAGCCCAACACCAGCTGGAAATCCGGTGAGCCAATGCGAGCCAATGCGAGCCATTCATCAATCCAAACATGCCAGCCATCCAACCAGCCACCCTCCCGCTGACCACATCGTGTCAGTCATCATGTTCTTGGCCTCACCACAGAGGCACAACAATGACTCGCCATGTGATGCACAGGGAGACGCGGAGACTGGCTCGCGCGATCTGCGACCCCGTCAGGATGTGGTCTCCGACACCTTGGACAACACCGCCTTAGTGGTGAAGGCCCAACGGCCGGTCGGAGAACGATAAACCGACCTGGACATGTGATTCAAGTGCGTTCAAGTGGCCGGTTTCGGAAAAACCGTGCAGGAGGAGGATTTGGATGGATTTGGGGTGAAGCAGCAAGTTGTTGAGTTTCAGGTTACAGTGCCAATCCAATCCTTTCCATGTGCATGGAATGGAATGAAAACGCTCCCAACCCATCATGCGAAACCAAAACCAAAGATCTCGCACAACGGTCCCTTCGATTTCCCGAGGCTTTGGCAGGTGGAAAGACCCGGGGAGGAAACACCATTTCACCAGTTCACATCTCGCTCCTCACAGCACGACGAAACTTTCCGTGCGGGTACAGACGGAGACAGGTGGGATGTAATGCAAAATATCTCGATGAACGAAAGGAGACGTCATGGAGAGTCAACATATCAGATGACGATCGGACTAAGACTAAGATGTATGATAGGCTTTTTTCATGCTTCCAAAGACTCAAGAGATCAACCCGGCTAAGACACGGCAGATCTCAGACTCGTTGGAAGGCGTCGAAGAGTCGAACATCGACCGAGGGCGACGGGACCTGCGTCGCTGCCGACGGAGGCCCTCTTGCAGGAGATGGGCAAGGGACCACCGCCCATTCGCCCCGTGATGAAGTTCCTCGAGTCGCCACTTGGGATTCCTTGAGCAGACCGGGTACTAGCAGAAAGGGCGGGGTTCATGTCATTTGTTATATTGTTATATGAAATACTTTCTGGGTGTTTTGCGAAGATTCAGGAGGTGAGGTGCGTGGCGGCAATATCGGATGGAGTTTTGGACTTGTCTGACCTGTATTTTTCTTTTTTCGGAGAGGAAGACTGGGAAGGATAAGCTTCATTTTGAATTTAGCTGGAAGGTTTTGGAAGTTTCTGGAACAACCTGCCCCAGAACATTACAAGGAACCGTTTGGGGGTAAAGACAGCAAACAGGAACTTTTCCATTGACCCTCCATGATGGTTCATGGTGGTTCTATCTTATGCAGAAAGATGCTTCACCTAGAGTTTGATGGTGCACAACCCTACTAGGACAATATGGACAATCAATCAATGTTCAGTTTTCAGGGCTTATTGAATTGCTATAGGACCTATAGGATCAACCATGCGTGGCATGACCCCTCCCTCTTCGCCATCCACTGGAGAGCCAACCAGCCAAGCTGTGGCGCTTGGTCCAGGCTCTCCACCAACTCCACCCGATCGAAGAAGCGAAGACAGTCGACTGTTTCATGTAGGTCGATGCATACATATGCCCTAGTCTGAGAAGGTGGGACTGGGCTGGGTTTAGAGGGTCCAGTCATACCTTCTGAGGAGGCACGACAGGAAGGCGCATACACATGCATACTGCATACTGGAGCCACCCCTTGTCTATCATGTGGAGCCCACCCATTAATTTTGGGACAAACACTATAGGACCAGCCAGGACCAGCCAACAGATGTTGAAGGACCCTGGTGCAACTATCCCAGTTGGGTTATCCCAGGTAATTCGAGTCCTATAGGCTATATAGGGTCACATGAACCTCTCTTGCATGGAGAGACTTCCTGAGCAGTATCCTGATGTTTCTCCTCCTCCCCCCTTCCCGCCTTCCCCAGGCCAGTGGCCGCCTGAGTCCGATGGCAACTTTCTGCTTCGGCCGCGAGTGCTGGTGGATTTGGGGAAAGAGCACTGAGAAGACGAGGTTTCGGTCACCGAAACGAAGGAAGACGTAAAGGATCCACAGGAAGATTCAGCGAGATGGACGTACTGCAATACACCTCCCCTGTTTTGCAATGGTTTTTTTCACACTGTGCCATGCATTGGGCAGGGTGAATTGAAGAATTTGAAGACCTAAAGGAGTTTCCACGTCGGATTGATGTTCAGTCGCTTGGGGAGTGGAGGTTCTGGGCATTTCTTATTTGAAGCACCCAACTTCATGGAACCGCTGGTCAAAGGACCTAACGAAGTGGTAGCTAAGCTTCTCAAGGCTGAAGCTTCCTACATCGACCGAAGTATCTTTGCACAACCATGCATAATATGACTGGACGTTTGACACCAGCTTTTCTTCTCCACGCGTCTGAAAACATGGTCGAATTCTCCTATTTTTTACAGGGTGGACGACTTGGATTTGGCTCACAAAGGCATAATATAGTCTAACTGAAATTCCCAAATCATGTTTTTTCACCCCGACGGAACGTCGGGTGCCCGAACCGGACATGGCACGCGCGCGGGCGCGGAAGAAGAAACATGGAGCGGGCGAGGATGTGAGGATGGGGAGGTTTCTACGGAGCATTAACAGAAAATCACTTGAAGGGGGAAGCCGGTGTGTGGACAGTACTGTTTTTTGGTTCACTCTATAGTAGTCAACGCGCGTTTCTCGAACTCCGTGACTGGAGGCGAGTCTGAAGCACCAGGTCGGGACTGGAATGAGTTTGAACGATCCCTGTGGGCACTGGTATGGAAAAAAAATGTTTCGAGAGTTTACTGGCCTTTCAGAACACCTAGCAATGGCTAGGTTGGAGGCCATCCCAATTAGGTTGGAGGCCATTGCTATTAGGTTGGAGGCCATTGGCTATTTGGTTGGAGGCCATCGCTATTCGGTTGGAGGCCGTCGCAAGTAGGTTGGGTCTCAGGCCATTGCAAATTGGTTGGAGGATGTTGGAGGCCATTGCACAGTACATGCAGTTTGGTATCTCAAAGACCACTCGCAACATGACTGATATGAGCCGGCAATCCATTTGCGGAATCAAACTTTGCTCCAAATCCAATCCCCCAATCATTTCTCTTTCAACCAAAGTTTTTTGTTTACAGGATCATGCGAGGACACTGGCTCAATTCGATGAACAATTGATGCATTTCTGGACTGAAGCATTCAGGGGCTCCTCGTGTTTCCAGGGGCTCCTCGTCAAACATATAGGCACACTCTTTTTTTTACTGCGCACGCCTTAGTGGATCCTAACTGAAAAGCTAGGCAATCTTGAGCCCTATAGGCAAACCCCGCAGATCGACTTCCCAGACATGACATGACGGCAAGACGCTCGCGTTGCGTCTCGTGGCGACAGGTGAGCCCAACCGAAACCGCGGCCGTGCGAACGCCCGCGACCTGCAGCCACACCCCGCGCAACCTGCGCAGCCAGGAGCTACGAGAACGTGGTCTCCTCGGAGGATCCGCAGATCGTGGCAGACGGCGCGAAGATCACCTTCGCTGCCGAGGCGCTTCGCGGCGGTGAACAGCGCGCGCGAACCGTTCGGGTTGCGGTCTGGCGGAGGCGCGGACGCGGAGTGCGCGTTCATTCTCGCGGTCCGCGTGAACGGCACGCAGCGCTTTTTCTTTTGTTTCGGACTGAGTGGGCTGAGTGTGCATTTTCCTCCACCAGACCAGTTTTGGTTCCCACACCAACTCGCGATCGATCCAACGTTCGCCTCTCACGCCCTTCCACATCGTGGGGTGCTAGAGAGTATAGATATGTACGACACACAACCAAAAGCTAGAACCCTCAGGCCATCATGTGTTCACCATCTAAAGGCCGCAGGAAGGTGCTAGTATGTGCTTGTGATCATGTCTGGCAGATGCCTTGATTCATGTCTTCTTGGAGGCTTTGAGGATCAGTGAGAGAGGTGATTGATGGGAGGGTGTGGCAGCGGCTTTTGGTTGAGCCCGAAGGCAAGGAAGGAGGCAGATCATGCACCAGGCGACCGTCGATCAAAACAACAAACTTGATAACAGATAGGATTCCTAGGATGTTCTTTTCATTTTGGTTGGTGTGTGAGAGGTATCAAGTAATCAAGTGTGTTTTTCCCAAAAGCATCTCCGATGCTTGGGTTCTCGTTTAGTTAAAAGAGGGGGGTAGCGAGACGAGGCAGGCATTTTGGTGGACGGCAGATGGGTGTGGACGGGGCTATGGATGGAAGATGGAGGGGCGCGATACGGGAGGGTGGACGGGGCTGTGGATGGAAGATGGAGGGGCGCGATATGGGAGGGTGGACGGGCGTGGACGGGGCCGTGGATGGAAGATGGAGGGGCGCGAGCCCTTCTACCTTCCATCCACACCCCCGTCCTTCCCTCCGTCCATCCCGTCCACCCTCCCGCGTCGCGCCTTCATCCACACCCCGTTCCAGGAAGCATCCACGCCCCCTTCCACCCCCCTCCACCTTCCATCCACACCCTGTCCACGCCCGTCCTTCCATCCACACGCCCAAGAGAGAAAAAGACCTTTCGTTTTGCTTTTGTCCGCAGGCTCACCTTGTTTAATTATATACAAGTCTTATGTAGGTTGTCGAGGTAGTTGCTAGTGACCAGCCTGGCCACAAGATGAGTTATAATTCTTCATGGGCACATTCCCTTGGGTTCTGTGGATAGTCCTCTGGATTTGGTCCAGTTTTGCACACAAATCCACTGGTCAAATTTCGATGCCAAGCTCTCAAACCATGACCATGTGAACAAACAACCGTCTCCATGGAACGAATGATTCACTTCCTTCTCTTCTTTGTAGCGTGGGCAGAATTCCAAGACAGACATGGTGGTGTGTCTCGCCGCGCGTCGTTTCCAACGGTGAGAAAGCGCCGCGCTGCTCGTCTTCCGTCGTTCGAAAGCGAGGCGTTCCTGGACCAGTCTCGGTCCGTGGGCTTCAAAGCACCGGATGGACACCTGTAGGGCCCCCCCGCGCCGGGGGGGGGGAAGAGAACTGGAGACGCAAACCACGCCTAAAGGGCCACGAACTGACAGGGTTCAAGATCAGAAATCCTTCTTTGAGGCATTTGAGTACAAAATCTCATGAAGATCTCCCCATCCCATAGATGTCTTTTTTGAAGGCTCCCCAAGAATACCCACGGGAACTCCGGGATGGGATGGTGCACTCTTCTCACCGCTCTCTTCCCGCTCTCATAAATACCCGCATGTACATGTGCCAGTGTCTCCTTCCGAGACCCGTACCTGCGGGCGGGTGCCGGCGCTGTTTTCAGGTACTGTTGCGCGCCCATTGGCAGCCACGCGGAGGCGGAGGCGCCGGTGAACTTTTGGGCGGTCCGGGGAGCCCAGAGAGTGGGACCGGGAGCCAAGGGTGAAGTGGTCTTTGGTGAGTTGGGGGTTCTGGCAGTTCTGGGGGTTGTGGGGTGGGGTTGGTGTTTTTTTGTTCGATGTTGTTCGTGAATGCAGTTGCTTTCCTGGTGGGGCCCGTGAAGCGGGACTTGGCTTCTGAAGAGAGGTTGAGAGTTGAGACAGAGGTGTTCCTTGGTGTACTCCTTGGATCAGCCAGGGAGAAGGACCTCAATCAAGACTCCAAAGGGGAGTCCAGTCACTTGTGATGCTGGTCCAAAGGAGTCCAAGGACTTCCAGTCTCCGCATGATGACAGGCTCTTTTTGTTAGATAGACGGTCACTCAGTGCTTTCCTATTGAAGAAGAGCCTTATACGGACCAAGGAAGGGGAGATCTCCCCTGCCGCCAGCAGCAGGCACTGGTGTACCAGTCTACCAGTCTGAACTCAGCGTCTCTAACGGCCCTGCGTTGGCCAACAAGTCTGAAAACACTTCGCGCATGGCGATTCTGAAAGCCGCAGTCTTCCAAGAGGCTTATCATCCAGCGGTTGTAGTCTTCTGCAGAGCTTCCTATCCAACCCATAGTTGTTGGAGAGTGTCTCGGAGAGAGGGGATCAATCCTAGTGATGCCATCTAGATCAATCCTACTGCTGGTTTCTTCCTTCTTGGAAGTCAGAAGCCAGGCTGAAGGTATCAATCCTAATCATTCCCATGAAAAATCGAGGAAACTCCCCCAATACGATGGTGATGTCCGTGAGCTTTCTTTTGATCGGAATCCTTCCCCTATCTTCCCCCCCAAAAAGACGCAAAACACGGCACTGCTATGAAAGGGGCCATGCCTGTCTACGCCCAGGTGGGCGTCGACTGCTGCGACTTGAGTGGACGCTTCGAGTGCGACGCCGCGCCCAAGCAGACGGGTGAGCCCTCCCGAGCGGGCGCTGCACGTCGCGGCGCCGAAACGCGGCACGTGCGCGCCGACAGTCTCCGGCATGTGTGGGAAGATATTTGGGGATGTGAGGCTTTGGAGGACTTTTTGGCCCAGGTCTTCATCAAAACCAGGGCCCTTCCAAGGTCTTTCTAGTAACAGGATTCGTTGACCTCCAATGGATTCGTTGACCATGAAGCAATTTGACCTTTTTGTCGGCTGGGTCTTGTCCTTCCAACTTGTTTGTTCATGTTGTGCGGCTCAAGAAGTGTTCCCCCGACCTATGGACACTATGGACTGGGTGAAAAGCCAGTGGGCTTTCGGGGGTGGGATCTGGGACTGGTGGGATCTGGGAACTGTTCAACTCGATCGCGCCGCAGGTGCAGGTGATGGTTGTTTCCAGAACTTTGTGAGGTTTGGTGATTGTTTGGTTTCTTGGTTTCTTGGTTTGGGTTCGTAAGGCAGACTTTTCTTTTAGATCGAAGAGCGATTGTTTGGGACCCAAGCTAATTCAGGTGCTGAAGCACAATGTCGAAAGGAATCTTCAACCAGGGAGATGGGTGTGTACTTCATTGAATAGGGAACTCCCCAACCGGGTTTTGGTCGATTGTCCTTCTTCCAGGGGGTCTTTGGGAGGCCTCTCTATGTCGCACTATTTTAGTTGATAAGCACCCGGACGGGAATGGGTGCCAAAGCTACCTGAACATCCAAATGAAATCACTCAAGTACCCCCCCCGGAGGTCTTTTGGCATCAATCCATGTTTGCAAGGGCCAAATGACCCACCTTCTACTACTAGCTAATTCAGATCTCCATCCAGGCACAGAGGATTGAGATGGGACACCTTTCAAACTGGAAGCTGGAGGTCCTAAAGACACCACAATCATAGTAGCAAATAGTTACTTGGAAATGGTCTTTCTTGTGAGTTTGGAGGTCAAAGTGAATCCGAGTGTTGCTTTTTGGGTGTTCAACTTTGTTGTTCTGTCGTGGACCTACTTGGGTGTACACCTTTCAGAGCTCTTCAAATCCACTTTTTCATGTGACCCAGTCCCTTTCCTGCAACTTTCCGCTCCGCATCATGCCACAATATGGCGCACGCGCAGCATCGAACTCCGCAGCCTTTTATTTTCCAGCACGGCACTCGCCCAAAGCAGTAATTGCGAGGGATTTATTGAGATCCGTGTGGACGCAGAACCTTTCTCAGGCTCCGGCGATGGATGGATCGGGTGGATCGGGTGGATCGAGCGATGCACCCCCTGGACGGCCGGATGAGTTCAAGGATGGGGATGGGTCAACATGGGGGGAACCCTGGTTGACGAACAGATGGAACAAGAACAGAATAGAACAGAAGATGTGGTCAACTTGCCAGGGCTTGAAGGGCTCCGAGTTTTGAGCCACACACGTGTGTTTTTGAGATATGTTGTGGTGTCTCCTGATACGTTTGGGGTGTCCTGCGGTCTCGGAATCAGACTGCGACATACCGCGACCAGTGTGGCCAACCATTGACTGGTCAAGTTTCTGGAGACATCTAATGTGACAAGTCTAGATATCTGGTCCACCTCATTCCTTGATTCAATCGGAGCCTTCTGGCTCATCACCCGCTTTTCACCACACTCCATGGGACTGGTATATTTAGATATTGGGGTGGTGCCATGGGGGGTCTGGCTGGGGCGGCAGTCCAGACTGGCAGTCCCAGACAGGTCGTGTCTGGGAGCGACCTCCACCGTGCCAGATCTGCGGGCCCAGGCAGCCATGGTCGCGACGAAGAGCCGAGTTCCCACGTCTCCGAAGCCCGTGATGGCTCGGCCGCGCAAAGGAATGAACAAGGTCGGAGCCATGGAGCCATGTGCCATCATGTGCCTTATGGATGATCGGACTGGAATAAGAGTGACCTAGCCTACAGTTTGGGATGAGACATTTTGGTGTTCGTTTTTCTTGTATATATACATTGACATGTAATGCAACATGCAACTAGATTCCAGTCCCATGGATGGTCTGGGGGTGGATGGGTCTGACGGCTGGCGGCCAGTTGCCAGCGGGAGTGTGTGTTTTTGGGCACGGCAGAGTGAGTCCTGACCGAGTAGGGACGGATGGGGTTGACCAGAAGAGGGTGACCAACGAAAACAATATGCTAGATATTAATGCTGTAGAGTAAAGGAATCATCAAGATGTTGGTTTCCTGGTGACAGCTACCCAGGTCCACCCATCTCGATTCCGAGGATCCAGGGCACCAATCATGGTGCACGATTCCAACAAACAATTCCCAGCGCCGTTCCGTTCCGTTCGCTGCTCGTGTTGGGTCGCAGTGGCCCCCGTGCGCCCCGTGCGCCACGCGCGACCCGCACCGCGATGTGCGCTGCGTCGTAGCTGGGCAGCGGCCAGACGGGTGGCGCAGGACGGGACGAATTGCCGGGTGGCGCAGTCGTGTAGGGCACTGGGCAATTCGTTTGAATGTATACCAGCACCAGGTATTAGTTTTCTGAAATGCTGGGTGCTGGTACCGTGAATCACTACTTGACAGGACCCTGAAAGAGCGCTCTACCAACTCGTGAAATTTTTAGATCTAAGATGTGGAAAAAAAACCATTGAAAACAACATCACTTTTTTCGAACCCAACTGCCGAACCCAGACGCTGCAGGAGGTGTCGACCCCTCCACCGATGTCTTACGGACTTCACCGGCCGAACGGCGCGCCCGGTGGCAGTCGGCCGCACGGTCACGGTCGGCCCGTTCACGGGGGTACTTCCGCCGTGGAGCGATTGGTGGAAGTGAAGGCTTTGGGTTTGGATGGCGAAGGCGTGGTGCCTTGGGTTGAAGTGAAGGCTTTGGGTTGGCGAAGCGAAACAGGGAGACGATTTTTTCGGGGAAATGGAACTTAACAGACCACGAACTTCAACAGGCTTCAACAGGGCCCGACTCCGACTCCTATGATCTACCAGGCCTAGTTTACTTCGACACATTTATACGCTGATTCCATGGTGGGTCCGCTGTAGAACTGGCACGTGTTCGTTGCTTTCGGGTCAATTCCACGCGAGTGGGGCTAGAATATAGGGTTGGAACACAAGTTTTGTAGTTACAGCCTCACACACACAAAACAAAGAACAACAAGAACAGATATGTTATTATGGCACTAAGAACAACGACAACAACGAAAAAAAACACATCAAAAACACGTCAAACTATAGGCTTCACATCTGAGTGCCAGTGCTTGACATCTGAGGTGGTCAGAGTTCCTGAATCTCTCACGGGGAAGCACCTTCGAAAGATCCTTGGAGAGCGGCTGGCGGCCAAAGCTGGTGCTCGAGTTTCTCTGCAGAAGCCTGACACCAAAACTTGTGGTCAAAAAGGGGTCCTATAGTTGAGGGTCTGTTGGGACCAACTCGTGAAGAGCTTCCGTTTGTTTATACACTATTTCATGTGGAATGTAATGTTGATGAACAGAACTCCCCCCCAATGTGGATTGAAACACCTCTGCATATAGGAGATTTTATCCAACCACATTGAAAGAGGAATAACTCCTTCCGGCGCTTCAAGAAAGGATGTGGGACGTTCCGGCGCTTGAGGGTTCCGGCGCTTCGAAGACGTTCGAAGCAGCGAAGCAGTTCTCCTGGGTTTCGAGTTTTCCTCCTGGAGAGGTTGAACCCAAGGATCTTGTGGCAGGATGGAGCAGACGATAGATGGAGCTCCAGTTGGAGCCCCATATGCTGTACCAAAAAAAACGCATTGGGCGCCCCAAAGAATACTGTAGACCACAGAACCATCATGGGGCCGTTTGCAATGCCTTGTTGGTTTTGTCACCAGGAAAGGATCTCGGATGCTTTCCTTGAAGAAGACCTTGAAAGAACCTTGGGCTTGGGCCAATTGCGGAACGCATTGGAGCGACGGAACACTCATGGTTCGATGGTGTTGTGGAACCATGATGCGCCCGAAAAGGACAATGCATCTCATGCAGACATTTTGCGATCGACTTTGTTGCGTAAGCGCAGCCCAGTAAAACCAGATACTGTATTTGTTTGGCCTTGGACAGGCGTGGTTGACCCGGTCTGACCCAGGATGGAACCAGGTGTTTGTTCACGCCCAAACCGAACCATTGCCAGTGGATAGATAAGGGCAGCCACTCTAAAAATCCCGAGTTTCTAGGTCGGCTTTGAAACCACTGGTTTAAACCAAAAACGGCACTAGGTGGTTTGCCGTGATCCCCAATGCAGGGTCTAGGAGGTTGAAACCATGGTGGGCGGACTCCGGAAGGGAGCGACAGGCGACAGGCTTTTTAGGGAGGAGCTGGGGCGTGACAGTGGAGTGACTGATCTGCCAGAGACAGCCCGGTTCCCAGGCCTGGAATTCTTGGTGCTCCAAAGGGAAGATGGGAATGACTTGGAAGGACCCAAGAGAACTTCATGCACCTTTAGCTAAGTATTTTGTACATAGGGTGGCCTTTGGAATGATTCCCATCTATCCCAGTTCCCTAAGCAAACAGCCAGAGGCCCAACACAAGCGATCTTCGCACGAGCTCCCATTGTTTGGAACACTTTTTAGACGGTTGAGCTGGTGTAGAATCATGCAAAATCCCTATAGTACAACAATAGTGGTTCGGTATATAAAGACTATCAAATCGTCCAGGAATCCTCGGATACCACGTAACCTCCTCTCGAAGCCGACTGGGACCCAGGAAGAGAGCACTGGAGATGGACTCGAGCTATGCATCTCGTATGTCTACGAGCCCAGTAGCTTGCACGATGCCTGGAGATTCCTTTCTGGCCTATCAGTTGATGATGAAGAAATCGCCCTAGATGGTCTAACTCAGCTGGAAGGAATTCATTCCTTGGATCAACTCAGAGAACTTCCCAAAACCCTGCAGACTCTGAGCTTTTCACCTGATTTCAGCGAGAGTTTGGAACGACTGCAGCTGCCCAGTAGCCTCAGGAGCCGTGGGATCGGAGCTGAAGTTGTTTCTGATGGGAGAGATTTAGATAAAGAAACCATACCAGCACCCTCCAACAGGTCACCAATTGAGACCTCTCAGGGCCTAACAACCCTCCAAAGGAGAACTGGTGGAGGGTGCTGGTACAGTAGCTTTCGATGGAGAAACCACCCAAGAACGAAAGTGTATGGATTGAGGCACTTCAGCCGATCAAATTGTGAGATCGTATGCGTATCCAGGAGCCTGACCTTTGGCAAGAGTTTCAACCAACGCTTAGAGCGTGTGACTTGGCCCAGTGGTCTCCAGCATTTGACCTTCGGCAAAAGCTTTAACCAGACCTTGGACGGCGTGACTTGGCCTCCATCTCTCCAAAGTATCTCGTTTGCATGGTCAGGGACATCCAGGAAGACATCCAGGGGCGCACGAACATAGCCCACGATCAAATCACACGATCATCACATTGATATCGCACCTGACTTTCTCTTTTCATCTCATAGCAGAGAGCTGAGCATTCGTGTCGCACCATGTCGCACCTCGTTCCGAGGTATCACCTTTGGTCATGACTTCAACCAGAGCTTAGAGCTCGTGACTTGGCCTGCCGCGTGGCATTGCAGAGTACACCTTTTTCTTTACCGGAGACCGGCGCTTGAGCAAGACATCGAATGCGGCGACATCGACATGTTGCTTCGCCAGGCAACCACTGTTGTTTGATGTTGTTTGTTTTCTGCATTCTTTTGGGGGGGGTCTGTCTTTCTTTATTTTCATATATATAATAGGACCCACTGTCGGGGTGGTGAATGGACACCCCGTTCCTCACCTTTTTTGGGGGCTATCGACACCCCTTATCACCCGGTATAGCTGGTGTCCTGGTGTCCGCTTGTTCGGTGCCTTTCTCTCCAGGCACCGAGCCACTCCGATGCCGAGACCCGGACGGGAAGGGCATTTTCTCGGCCCGGTGACGGGTGACGGGTGGGAAAGAGTCTCAGCTGAGGCGAGTCTGAAGACTTTGAGCTTTGGATCTCTTTTCAACCGCTCCTTGGAGCGTTGGAGCTGGCCGAGCGGCTTGCAGCAGCTGAGCTTCGGCGAGCGCTTCAACTTGAGCTTGGAACGCGTCGCGTGGCCACACAGCCTGGAGACATGGCTTGATGGAAAGGGGGTAGTTGGGAATGTTGGGAGGGGTCTAAAAAACAGGGGGCGGGTTTTATATCCACCAAAGCAATCTATCTAAAAGCTACGCAGCGATGCAGGTGGCTTTGGGCAAAGTGAGTGGCTCAAAACAAATCCTTTTGAAGCTCTTGATTCACCCTGTCTGTCGGGCAGATTTTAGCACAAAATTCCAGACGCGGTTTCAGGGGTCAAAGTAGACTTACATTCCATAATATGGAGTGTTGAGGAATACTACCGTACCACTCGTACTCAGGTCTGCAAACATGGTGTGAAAGCGGTTAGGGGAATCCGTGCCTCGCCAGCGAAGCGGTGCACTCACCTTCTCGCCCAGGAGGTCTTGACCTTTGGCGAACATTTCAATCAGACTTTGGAGCACTCGACTTGGCCCAAAAACCTTCAGCACTTGACCTTTGGAGACGATTTCAATCAGAGCCTGGATCGTCTACGCTGGCCGAGCTTGAACAGCTTGACCTTCGGCAACTCATCTGAAACCCGCTGGATCCCAGGCAACCACGAGTCACAAGGAACCTGAACCCTGGTTACCAGTGACATCGTGGCCAACGACGGAAGAAGTGCTGACGTGTCTACGTCTAGGGGTTTATACTGTCCAATGACCAATGACTTCCAACTGATCAACTGTAGTTGTGATCACAAGCGGGGATACCGCAAGATTATATCCCCAGAGCTGGTAGGACTTGGTTTTTAGAGACTTTCTGTTTGACGACCAACGGTCTCTCACCCTGGGAAGGATTTCTCACCCAGATTGGTGTGTCCCTGCAGTGAGGTAACGACTTTAGCCAGAGTCTGAAGCGAGTGTCATGGCCTGCAAGTCTGCAGCACTTGACGTTTGGTCTTCGATTCAGCCAAAGCTTAGAAGGAGTGGCACTGCCAAAGGGCCTCCAAACCTTGACCTTTGGCTGCTACTTCAACCGGAGTTTGGAGCAGGTCACTTGGTGAACCTTGCTTGAGCAAATAGATGCAAATAAACAGAGATCGATCATCTCACCCTGAGGCTCGTGTTCATTCTTTTATACCCTATATAGGGATATTTGGTTTCAACAAGCTACACAATGTTATATATTAGTTCAACTGAGGGCATCCATTGGTCAATCCCAAGTGAAAACCCGCCGTTGTCAAGACCCTGAACAACTCCCGCCTCACAACCAGTGACCAGAACCTCTCTCTTGGGAGGTGGCCTTTCCAGCGGATTTGAAAAGCCTGAGCTTTGGCAGCACCTTCAACCAGAGCTTGGAACGAGTGGCTTTGCCTGAGACGCTGCGATGCTTGAGCTTCGGCGAACGCTTCAACCAGCCGTTGGACGGGATTGCTTGGCCCAATTTGGACACTCTGCAGGCAAAAGAGTGCGTTGGAGGGCTTTGGACATCACCCCACGGATGAATCAATCAGTTTTGAAACACTCGTCTATTGACTAGACATAGTACTAGACATTTACTACTAAGTCCTCTGGGGTGTAGGTGCTTTTTGAACACAGATCAATGATTGGTCACCTTGGGACCTTCAGCAAAATTTATTGGCCGTACATAGGCAGATCGATGCAGATGCAGATAGAGAGCAGATAGGACCCACCATGACTACCCATCCAAGATGGTGGGCCTGCCGGATCTCGATGCCCCACTTGTAGCTGGCCCGAGAAGAATGTCCGAAGGCCGAACACCTGGTGTTTTCGATTCTTGCATGTTGAGAACACCTGTTACCAGGGGCCCCACCAAACCATCAAAAACATTCAGAAACCTGGTTTAGCCCTAGCAGCCTAGCAAAAAGCATGGCTTTTGTATTGTGCAAGCCGCTGCAAGCCCTTGTTTTTCCATGGTTTTGAGAAGACCTGTTGGGTGTCTTTTTTCCCGCTCTCGATAACTTCGGTGCATCGAAGTGCGCCCGTCGTCGCGTCCGGGTCTCCCGTCCTTCATCACCTGTCCCAGAGGTGGTCGAGTCTCCCGGTCTCCAACTGCTACGTGTCCCAGACACTCCATGAGACTGGCATAGTTACTGATCAATTGGGGTGGTTGACTGGGGGTCTGGCTGGGGCGGCAGTCCGGACTGGCAGTCCCAGACAGGTCGTGTCTGGGTGTGTTTCGTTGGGTCCCCAAACCCGGCTCACCGGTAGGGGTGAGATCAAAGGCGAACGCCGCTCCTAGCGCCGAGTTTCACCGGTTGGACCCGAAAACAAGGTCGCCCACTTGGATTGGATGTTGGTGAGGCTAGCCTTGGGACACACTGGACTGCACATCACTCAGGAATATGTCAGTGATTTCCGCCCCAACCTCACGAAAAGCGAGGGAGAGTCGGTCGCGCGAGACATCGGCAGCGGCAACGCCTAAGGAGACGTTGACCTTCGGCTGGAATTTCAATCAGAGCTTAGAGGAAGTTTCGTGGCCCCCGGGTCTTCAGATCTTGACCTTTGGTGGTGAATTTAATCGCCCAGAGCGACTGACTTGGCCCAGCAAGCTTCAGAGTTTGACCTTTGGATTTCGATTCAATCAGAGTTTGCTCCAAGTCACCTTGCCCGACACTCTGCAGAGCCTGACCTTCGGCTGTGCATTTGACCAAAGCTTAGATGGCGTGATCTTGCCCAAAGGCCTGCGCCGCTTGACCTTCGGCGACCGATTTAACCAAGCGCTGGAGCACGTGACATGGCCCGAGAGCCTTGAGAGACTTGGGGGAAAGAACAGAAGACCAGGACCTTCCACTCGTGACCTCTTGAGGATTGGTCCCTAGGGCTCCTGGCCTACCTCCTGAGAAGATGGTTGGGGTGGGTGCCAGGGGGGGTCTAACCACCTTCTGAGGAGATGGTTGGAGCCCTAGGGGGTATACGTGACCTGAAATCATAAGGCCTTACTTCGTGACCTCACCCGCCGCCACGAACGGATCTCACGGACGGTCACGAACGAAAGGTCCTGGCAGCAGATGTTTTTGTTGGGGGAGGTTGGTTGGACATGTTTGCACCAAGGAACTGTGTGATTCTGGGGTGACTTTCTCACACGAGCTCGATAAGATGAGTGTGACATGTGTGGGTATCCTTAAATGTGACACGTGGGCGATTGAGTACTTGTTGCTGAGATACCGGCCGGTGTGGGGTTCGGACAGTGGAGGACAGTGGACGCGACCATCCAAGAGAGGTATCACGTGACCGTTTTGTAGGACCCAATGTGGAGTGTCTGGGTATGGGATAGTCTATCCCTAGGGCTCCAACCATCTCCTCAGAAGGTGGTTAGACCCCCCCAAAAACAACCCAACCATCTTCTCAGGAGGTGGTTGGAGCCCTAGGATATATAGGGTTATAGGGTCCTGACCCACCCTTCGGAAGTTTGGATCTCAGGAGTTTGACCTTCGGCGAATTCTTTAATCAGACCCTGCAGCGGATGAGTTTGCCCAGTGGACTACGACATCTGGTCCTTGGTCATGGCTTCAATCAGAGCCTGGAGCAAGTGACACAAGACTTAAGTTGGAAGAACCGGTGGATGACTGGTTTGTATGTCAAGAACAGGCCAAGCCTAGTTCCAGAGTCCTAAGCTGAATCCTTTTTACTACTCTACTACTTGGAGCTATGATCTATGCCGTCTATGCAACAACGTCTTGGTTTCCACCTCCAAGAGCCGTCCTACACTCGCTGGAGGACTTGGCCCAGTCACCTTGAGAGCCTCACCGTGGGCGATCGTTTTAACTTGAGCCTGGACCACGTGACTTGGCCCGAGCATCTTCAGTCCTTGGCCTTTGGCGAACGATTCAACCAGAGCTTAGAGCATGTGAGACTGCCCGAGAGCCTCAGAAGCTTAACGTTGGGCGAGCGTTTCAACCGGAGTTTGGATGGAGTTGCCTGGCCCAGCCACTTGCAGAAGCTGATCTTTGGCAACTCGGTCGAAGAATTCGGGTACTCGGTCAGCCTCAAAGCCTGGTGCAAGGGTTTTCAGAAACCATCCGCCAGGACCTTCAAAGTGGCCAAGATTGAGATTCTGGGACGAGGTCACAAAAAGACCTGTAAAAGGTCAAGTTTAGAGACTCAAAACCTGAAGGTCCTGGCAGATAGGGTTCCAGTATGTCCCCAGTGCTACTCCACTGCTCAGATGGCTGGACGGTCTACCACTTAGGATGACTTCAGGATGACTCCAGGCTCCAGGTACACTGTCTGCAATAATAATGGAAGTGGAGTGAAAACCACCGATTGGTATTCGGAAGTCAGGGCCATCCACCTCCATACCATGATTCCTGGGAGTGTCCCTGGACTGGTTTAGAGACCCGTCGACCGACGTGTCCCGGAAAATGTGCAGACTGCAAGTTTGTGCATTTGCCAAACGTCCAGGATCGTCCAGAAGCTCGGGTCCCTTTTGAGATCCTGCTTTCCTTTTGGGTTTGGCCTCCAAGGCAGTACTTCACCCCTCACAATCAAGCACGCTATATCCACGATATATCCAGCTTACTTGGCTGCTGAACATGAGCTTGGAAGATGAGCAGAGACAAGTCACCTCTGATCCCCTATAGTTTCTCATCCCCCAAAATGTCCAGCCGCAAAAACCAAGAGTTTAAACTCGCATCGAAAGTGGCAGAGTACACTTCCATCCACTCAACTTCAGGTTCCATGCGTATCCATGGGTCAAAAGATTACTTCTTGACAGTTCACTTGCAGCTTCCTCACTCTCTCAGGCAAGAACTTCAACCAACGCCTCTCTTCGCTCACTTGGCCACCTTCCCTAGAAACCCTCTCTTTCGGTGAACACTTCGAGCAAAGCCTCGAAGCGGTGCCTCGCTTGCCTCGAAGCCTCCGTTCTTTGGCACTGAAAAACCTCCGGTTCAGCGCCGAAGAACACCACGGTTCTGGCGACCGGGTCGACGCCGGCGGCTTGGCCGAAGCAGGGCTGGGTACCTGCACCACGGGTGGCGGTGAAGGCCATCTGAAGGCGCAGCAGAATGCGTCGAAGGCATGTACCTCGCCAAGCCGGCCAAGTCCTAACGTGAACAAAAGTGGGTGTCCTCGGCGAGCGCGGACCAAGGAGATTTGGTGAGAAATGTGAGGCACTGCCCACTTGGCCGGAATGCGTATCTCTAGTTTCTATATAGCCATTGTAAGAAGATTTTTGAAGGAATACCAGGACCTTCCACTCGTGACCTCTTGAGGATTGGTATACGTGACCTGAGATCATTCAGCCTTACTTCGTGACCTTCCCGCCACTGGGAAGGTCCTGGACGGTCACGAACGCCTTCGCTTAACGGCCGGGTGCTTCGGCATGGATCCATGGACCTTATGGGCCCGTGAAGACGGACACCGCGTTGCGCTTCGTTTTGGGCGGCTTGCCATGTGCGAAACCAGGGGGGGGCCCTGGTACTTAAGAATGGATGAACCACCCCTCCAGCATCAGTTTGGACTTTCCGCCCACCCGGTAAACCCAGACGCACCTGGACCTGTCAGAAGCGGCCAAACCAGCAGAAAAACACTTTGCGTCGTCTCTTCGCCGTGGGGTGTGTGAGAGGTCGTTGAGATGAATGACTTCTGCGCGCGCATGGTGGTGGATGACCTCATCCAAAATGCTTTGAAGGAGGACGTCTGCTCAACGACACGTCGAGGGGCGGCTGGACGTCGGGCGGAAGACCGGAGGTCGGAGGTCGGAGGTCTGAGGCCGTGCAGCCGGACGGAATGGCAGAGCGGAAGCAGCTGGTGAGTCCAGTTTTGAATGTTTGGTGAGTCCAGTCCCCAATTGATTGGAATCGCTTAGAATTATGATACGATTATGATTACCCAAACACTCCATGTATGCCATATATGCCTACATTGACCCCCCAAACCACCCCAATGTAGGCATACATGGAGTGTTTGGGTTATGATTATATATGATATGACATATACTGTATCACTAGAACACTGAAGGCGGAAGTGGATACAAGACAATCGCGTTTGGAAGTGATTTTGTCCAGGCCTGTGTAGCCCCCCCAGTCAATATTGTTCGGGTCACAGGTTGACCATCAGATGTTGTTTGGTCACAATGCTCATGCCATGTGTTTGGAGTGTTGGTGCGCTGCTTGGAACTCTTCTCGTCTGGCCCGTTTCGCGCCGCTCAAAACCGGACGTGTCCTCCCTCAGGATGCCGTGGCCGCGGCGGAGGAGCTGCAGTGCGAGTCGGAGGACTGATCTGCGGACCGCGGTTGGGCGACAGGGAGGTTTCTGTTCGTACAACTCCAGGGCCAAGTCGGCCATATATGGGGCACATCGACCATCGCCGAAGTAGGCCGAACTGGGCTGAACTGGGCCGGTTTCTGATGGAAAATTAGGCCGTTTCGGCTGAACTAGGCCGTTTTGGATGGAAAAGGAATCCATAGGAATCCACTCCTTCAGAAAAGATCCGTCCGCTCCATCCACTCCGTGGATCTGGTGAGTCGTTCGATCCAAACCCGGACATCGGGACGTCGGAGGACGCCGTTGGTCGTTGGTCCCGGATGACGCTCGACGCCGGTGCAGACGACCGACCCGTGGATTCGGGTGCTTCCGGGTCTCCAGGGTTTAGGGTAGGGTGCTTCCTTGAAGGGCACAGCGAAAAAAACACCTCCTTACTGGTCATATGATGCGCATCATGTCAAAGGCCAGGAGACTGGACAAGGGTCCGGTCCTGAATCTGTTAGAGATTTGTAGGGAGAAGACTATAGCAAATTGCACGACCCGTCTGGGACTGCCAGGCCATGTATGCCGCCCCAGCCAGATCCCCCTGGCACCACCACCCCTGGCCGTTTTGAAGGCCAGTCCGCAGTCCCAGGGATCCCTATAGGGATAGTGGTCCATTTGGGTGGCACATCCGAGTTCACCCTTTTCTGACCTCCCCGTCGACCCTGTGGACGCCCAGCGAACGTCGAGGCGTTGCGGGCGTTCCACAGTTCCACGGGTCCAGGCTCCGTTGAGAGTATGTGGCCGTGTCTGGAGAGTATTTCTCCGGTTGAGCATCAAAACAACAGTGAGACATGTGACATGTGTGTGTGTGAAAGACATTGAAAGACAGCTAAGCAAAAGCCGTCCTTACATGTTTTTTTCCCGTGGTTTGGGTGGAACAAGGTGGTGGGATCTAGCCTAAGATGTCATTGCTGAGCATTGATGCCTGCTCTGTTTGGATGACCTGGTATCGAAAAGGCCAACCCTCACCCCCAAACCAACCCTGGCATCGAAAAAGGACCTTCGACCTCTTCGGAGTTGTGACGTGTTCTTCTCCATTTGTGGTTTCCATATACCCATACACTCCATGGGACTGGAATATATGCCTACACCCCCAGTCAACCGGGCACCCCACCGATCGGCCGTTTTGGCATCTCTTCCAGTCCCATGGGTCGCGTCTGGTGGTTTGCCGCGGCCGCCAGGACGAAGGCTCGGTGGTGGAAGCCTATGATGACTATGATGAGGACGATGTGGTGAGCCTCTCAGGTGCCTGGTCGACCGACGTCCAGAAGCGTCAACACAACACGCACCACGACATGCTGGTGGTTCGTCTTTCGTGTTCTGCATGGGTTGCCCCTTAATCAGGAAGAGTGATCGGTATGGGTTCTGAATGGAGACGTGCTTCTAAAGACTCGAATTCGGTTGATTCGCCTGTATCAGACATGCCCGCTTGGCTTTCATCCAAGCAGAACCCGCATGGCTGTCACCATCCTTCTTCAGTTTGGGATGTGGACCCGAACAACGACTGTAACTTTCAATTGTTGGCGCTTCTCCTTCATCATCAGGCCACCTAATTCTGTTTGTTTGCCTACTTACTTCGAAACTAGGAACCAACCACCCAACCTTCGCAACCATTGCTGAGGCTCCCAGTCGCTTCTTTTGCTCCTTGCTTCTCGCGGCGCGAAACAACTGTGACACTGTGGCAGGCGAAGCCGACTCCGATGAAGAGGAGGTGGAGACCTTCAACATGGTTTGCCAGGTGAGGGGCTTTCAGGCTTTCAGGCTGTGCCACGCTAGGGCATGCTGTGGCTCGAGAGAAATGGGGCACCATCCAAACTCACCCATTCTGGATGAGAAGGAAACAGCATCTAAAAATCTGTAGGTTCCTGCGTCTGTTGAAAAGCCGGAGCCACAGCCAGATAGTGTTCAAGGTCTTGATGATCCGGATGTGATTCGGCAGATTGATGAAGCTTCAGAGATTGGGATTCTGGAATGTTTTCCACAACGCTGCGGACTAAAAAGACGCTGTATATAATGCCGCATACGGGGGGGTCGCTCGAGGGTGACAGAGAAGTGACGCCTTTTTCGGTGACATTGGCGACGCGTTGAGGGAGTTAATTGTTCCCCAGACCAGACGAATGGGGCGGGAATAGTTGCATAATGTATAGACTCTTGATTAATAGATCCACCCCAACCGAAGAGGTTTTCAAACTATTGGGTCCTCTACCAAATCTGGTGAAGTCCATGCTAAGCATGTTCAATATGAATGCATTCGGAGAGTCTTCAGTGCTTCTTTCTGACTACTTCTATCCTCCCGGCCCAGTGCTCCATGTGTGTCTTCTGCAGGTCGCAAAACGTGCAGTCACACAAAGCCTTCACCAGGCTTTGGAACCGGGCAGGACGCTGACATACAGATGCCAGCAAGAGATGTCAGTCCAGAGCATGGAATTCCGGAACAAGCCAGCCCACAATGCTTTCTAGAGATACCCCTCCAATTCCCCCCTTCCAGTCCAATGTGTCCAGAAATCATCTCTAAACCTACCAGGACCCTCTGGACTTTCTGGGACTTGTTCGTCTTGTCGTCTGTTCTGCCGAAGTCCACCACCGGTCCTGACCGTTCGTCCGACATCGGCACACGGCAGCTCCGGGGTTTCATCCGGCCCCCCTCTTGGATCGCCTGGAAAGAACGCCTGGAGTGGGCCATGAGAAACGATCGAATCCCAAAACCGTAGTTCATGTGGCGACATGTGGAGAGACATGTGGAGACTGGTCATGTGGCCGGGTTCCACTTGTCACCCACCAAGGTTCAACTGGAAAACAATCTGGAAAACAGCTTTCGGCTGCTTTCAGAGGAACCCTTGAAGGATGGTGACATGAGAAGACATACTATAGCATTTTCCCCATGCTCGAGAAAAACAAACAAACAAACGACAAGCAAACAAACAAACAAACAGCGAAAGGGTCGTCCCATAGCCTTGTGGCCCTGTGGCTTTTGGTTGGTGCTAGTTTGAGTGCAGGCAATTTCAATATTTCAGTCATTTTAGTGGCTGCTTTTGGCATTCTTCAGCCAAAGATTTCCTGCACGAAGATGGGAGGGTGGTCGCCTTTCCCTAGGGCCTACATATAGTACTGGTTGGGATCCCCTTCGTGACATCGCAGGCCAAGTGGATCAGCTCCAGCGCGCCAGTTGTCAGGCGCAGGGCTTGGCAGGGCTTGCCTGGGGGTCGGAGGTGCAGGGCAAGGCTGCAGACCTTGGTGTGGCGTGCACCGTGGCAGTTCACAATAGTCCGAAGATGAAGTGCGACAGCTACAAATTCAGCCATGACCCTACATATACAGACCTTTCCTAAACACTCCATGGGACTGGCATCCAAACGCACTATTAATAAAATAGCGAGAAAAAGGCCTCAATGGGGCATCGTTTTTTACAGTCCCAGACCTTATAGGACCCTGCTGGGATATCTATGGGATAGTCTATAGGGTTCTTCAACTTCTGTTGGTACAGCTGCTATTCAAATCTATTCAATCTATTCCACATGTCGAGTCTAGGACATGGAGATCAGAGGTATTAAGAGGTCACACGCCTAGCTGCATAGATGTGTTTGTCAACATGTTCCCTTTTGGAAGATGATGGTCGCTTGATGTCCTTTGCCAGTATGTCGCCATGCTTGTGAAGATTGCTTTGTGGGCAGGGAGTAGTGGGGAGTCCAGGTGGGTGCTCATGTTCCACCGTAACCACTCTTGCCTGACCGGCAGCGATCGCGGTTGGGTCGCAGGCAAATCCAGACCTTGCCGGCCGACGCGTGGCAAGCCATCCACGCGCGCTTCCAGGTTTCCGGGCAACACTCGATGGGATAAGAGGAAGTGGAGGATGGAGGAGTTTTCCCAACGCACAGTGTGACTGGTCTGGCCATTTTACAATGGGGTCATTGGATGCCGTTGGTGTTCTCCCTTAAATGAATCAGTCGCTTTTGACGAGGGTTCGGATTACCCTTAGTTGGTTTTACCAGGTTGTGATATGTCGATTTGCCTGAACCAGTACCTGGGACTTACTGTAGATCTTTCAACTCCAACACAGTGGTCAAGGACACAATGACTCATGAAACTTCGACAGGTCAACTCCATCAGCTCCAGTGCAGCAGTGGGCAGGCGGGAGCTCGCAGGGCTTTGGTGGGGGTTCGGGGGTGCCAAAAAGATCAAGGCAACAGGGACGTGGCCGGAACACAAGCCACTCTACTACTACTGCTACTACTACCACCACTACTACTACTACTACTCCTACTACTACTACTGCTACTACTACGACTGCTACTACTACTACTACTACTTCTACTACTACTACTACTACTACTACTACTACTACTACTACTACTACTACTACTTTTCAGACCGCGTTGGCCTTGAACAATGTTTTCGACCGCCTCTGGGCCCAAAAATAACCTAGAGGATACGTGAAGCATGTACCAGGGCCAAGAAGTAGCTGTGAACATCGCCGGGACGTGGATATAATACCCCCATAGGGTCCAGGTACCTCCTGAGGATGGTCTTGGAGGTGAGTTCGTATTTCCAGAGAATGGTCTTGGGGTGTCAAAGGACATCCTCAGGATGGCCCGGGACCCTTAGGGACCTATATACATCGAAAAATAGAGCATGAACAAGTTGTCAATGGACTCAACTGGGCATCGTTTTTTTCCAGTCCCAGACCTTGTAGGACCCTGCAGGGGTATCTATGGGATAGGGCACAGGGTTCTTCAATCTTTGTTGGTGCAGCCTTTCCACATGGAGAGTCTACGAAATGGAGACCAGAGGAACAAAGACATCACAGGCCTAGCCTAACTGAATAGATGTGTTTTGTCAACATGTTCCCTTTTGGAAGATGATGGTCCGTTGATGTCCTTTGCCAGTATGTTGCCATGCTTGTAAAGATTGCTTTGTGGGCAGGGAGTAGTGGGGAGCGTTCCAGGTGGGTGCTCATGTTCCACCGTAACCACTCTTGCCTGACCGGCAGTGATCGCGGTTGGGTCGCAGGCAAATCCAGACCTTGCCGGCCGAAGCGTGGCAAGCCATCCACGCGCGCTTCCAGGTTTCCGGGCAACACTCGATGGGATAAGAGGAAATGGAGGATGGATAATTTTTTCCAACCGCACAGTGTGACTGGTCTGGCCATTTTACAATAGGGTCATTGGATGCCGTTCGTGTTTTCCGACGCCAAATGAATCAGTCGCTTTCGACAAGGGTTCGGTTTACCCTTAGTTGGTTTTACCAGGTTGTGATATGTCGATTTGCCTGAACCAGTACCTAGGACTTACTGTAGATCTTTCAACTCCAACACAGTGGTCAATGACACAATGACTCATGAAACTTCGCGACAGGTGAACTCCATCAGCTCCAGTGCAGCAGTGGGCAGGCGGGAGCTCGCAGGGCTTGGGTGGGGTTTGGGGGGTGCCAAAAAGATCAAGGCAACAGGGACGTGGCCGGAACACAAGCCACTCTACTACTACTGCTACTACTACTAATACTACTACTACTACTACCACCACTACTACCACTACTACCACTGCTCCTACTACTGCTGCTACTGCTACTACTACGACTGCTACTACTCTATACCTTTTCATGAACAAGTTGTCAATGGGCTCAACTGGGCATTGATTTTCCAGTCCGAGACCTTATAGGACCCTGCTGGGGTATCTATGGGATAGTTTATAGGGGCCTTCGATCTTTGTTGGTAATTACAGCCTTTCCTCATGGAGAGTCTACGAAATGGAGACCAGAGGTACTAAGAGATCACAGGCCTAGCTGAATAGACTAGATTTGTGATGATTTGTGTTTGTCAACATGTTCCCTTTTGGAAGATGATGGCCTGTTGCCAGTATGTTTCCCATGCTTGTGAAGATTGCTTTGTGGGCAGGGAGTAGTGGAGAGCGTTCCAGGTGGGTGCTCATGTTCCACCGTAACCACTCTTGCCTGACCAGCAGCGATCGCGGTTGGGTCGCAGGCAAATCCAGACCTTGCCGGCCGACGCATGGCAAGCCATCCACGCGCGCTTCCAGGTTTCCGGGCAACACTTGATGGGATAAGAGGAAGTGGAGCATGGAAGTTTTTTTTGTGGTTTGGTTTGGCCCTTTTACAATTGGGTCATTGGATGTCGTTGGTGTTCTCCTACGCCTAATCAATCAGTCGCTTTCGAAGAGTGTTTGGTTTACCCTTAGTTGGTTTTACCAGGTTGTATTTTGTTGATTTACCTTGAGCAGTACCTAGGACCTACTGTAGACAGTAGTGACCAACGCATGAAACTCATCAACCTCATAAACCATGTGTTTTACTTCGCGCATGGACCCTCGAAGAGTCCGAGTGGGCGGCTGCTGCTTTCGATTTCGAGGACACCATCAAAACCGCCCCCAAACCTAGAAGTCCAAAGACTCTACCAACTACGCTAATTCATCGAATTCCTTCAAAAAGTCAAGGAATTCCCTTTCAGGTCCCTCATTCAGACCATATCTTCTATTTTTCTATGATCTTTGAGTCAGTCAGGGCAATAACTGTTTTGGTTCATCACAGATCCGTCCTGAAGGTTTGAGGCCGACAGGCTGACAGGGGGGGGCGACGTTGAATATCTTCAGACGTCCAAGGATCCGTAGTCCTTGGGCTGTTGGTGCAAATAAGCAAACAGATCAAGACACAGAATACGGTTAAAGATATTGAACCATATTGAACTGGATTTCAAATGATTTCAATGGATTTGATTGAACTGGCTTGATCAATTGATCTACTCCGGCAAAGCATGGCAAAGCTTAGTCTCCATGCCTTCTGGAGTGTCATCCAATGCCTTCCTGCCGCGCAGGTCGCCCCGGTGGCGCCGCAGGTGGGGATGTTGGGGTGAACGAAGGTGGAGTGAACCCCAGCCAGAAATTCGATCATTGACACTCCGCCTGGGGGGGGTGACCGAAGGCGTCAAATGGGCGTGTAGTAGAATAGGCATGGCGTTCCGACCCCTGTGTGAGAAGGACAAATCAACCCAAACACATAGGTTGGGAGGGAGGCTAGCTTTCCCCTTCAAAATACAACCCCCATAGTCCGTAGTTACCAAGTTTAGGATGTTGGCAGCACTCACCCAGGCACTCACCCAGGCGTCAGACGCGACCTCTGGTTTCCCCAAAACCTTTCCGATGTCCGCACCTGAAAAGTTCGCGACCTCAAAGGGGAGAATCTCTGTTGACCTGTAAAACAGGACCATTTTCGTGAAAGATTTTGGGATCTCCAGGACAGTCGAGCTGAAGGTCCTGGACAGGATCTCCAAATATTTTGGAGATGTTTGTCGCCCCAACACCAGGCCAGTGTGGTCTATAATATATGTGGAGTTCAACATGGTCCTGGTAAGTGTGTTTCACATGGTTTCACGTTGTTTCACTCCTCAGTTCTGTTTCGCCAAGCGTATTGTGGGGATGCAGTGTTTTCACTTGCTTCGCCGTTAGCCCGCAGGTCGAGAAGATGCCACTTGGTCGAGATGCGCATTTGATGAAGCAGTCCCCAGACACTTCATGGGACTGAGGTCTACACAACAGGACCGAGTTAACATTGATTACTGTACACATCTTGTCCAGGCCCATGATGCAGTCTATACCAGGTGGACCCTCACCAGGGGCTCTCGTACCCAAGCATATATCCCACACATTCCCAGGCACTCCCTGTATGGACTAGTTACCTACATTGACCCCTTTTCAACCTCCCCAACCGATGAGGAAGCACCGCTTTGACTTGGGACGAGACCGGGACGGAAGAAGACCCGGGGGCCGGACAGGACGGACCCCGGAGGCCGCAAACACGCAAGCACGGAGACCACGACAACCCAGGGTCTCTCCTGTTTTTTCTGGTGGGAAGGAGAACCGGGTGACCAAGCACCCCGCAGAGCTGTTGTTTTCTGGTTTTGGCCACAACCCTTGACCGATGAGATGCCATGTGACTCAGACCAGACCAGGCCCGGACCACTCTTTCAGTCGACGTCGACCTCCCAGGCATCTCATCAAGACCTTGCCCTCCACTGCGTGGGATGCCATCCACCAACGCTTTCACCCCCAGGCCGCACCGTCGCTCGTGCCCCGAGAACCGTCACACCGGTCGGCCGCGGAGCGGTTCGGGTCGCGGAGCGGGTTTGGAGCCAAAGTCGAAGGTGGATGGGCTGCCTGTAAATGGACTTTGATGGGGGAGCAAGGGAATTGGTGCCAAAAAGACTGTGGGGCACTGTAGGTATCCTAGCTTTGGTACCCGTGGCTTCGAAAAGAACCGGATGGGGACACTTGGGAACTTGCACTCCCATATGACTTATCAAATGTACAATGTCAACCACCAGTTCACTTGGGCGACATCACTACCACTATCAAAATTTATTCGACTATTTCTTTGCGTCGACCCCGTTAGTCTTGGATTTTAATACCCCCAAACCCTATTTTTGGCTCTAGCTAATCGCCCACTTGACGGTTTAAGGGTTTGAAGGTCCAAAGAACTCTGCCGCAAGTCAGTCCCTCATTTCTATCAGTATGCATAGAACGCATCACGAATAGTCACGGGTCATTTCACTGTAGTGGCCATTAGAATTTCGGGGTGCTCGCATGACCGGCATTCTTCTTCCGAATGCAATTTATGGCTGGAGTTTGCTGCTGGCCGGTTTAATAAGCTAGTAAGGCAAGCTGGAAAATATACAGATGAGCACCAGTCATGATTGCTTGTATCCCAAGGTGGTAACATGCGCATGCTCCCACCACACCTACAGCTTTGGGAATGATCATTGTGGTTTTGTTGATGGTCCAGCACAACTGCCAGACCTTGGCCATAAGAAACTGAATCTGCCACTTCAAACAGACTGAATCGAGCTTCCCAAGAGTTGTGGGTCGTTTGGTTCGCCAACCCGGACCACTCAAGACATTGATTGAAGCATTGGACAGAGGGTTCTAGCTCTCAAGAAACAGCTGCGCAGCGGAGGCCTCCATCTTGTGGCATCAGCAGTGCATTTCTTTTTGGGGCAACAGTCAGTGTAGATGTATGGTGCATTTTCTTGACGATCGACCTTAGACCATCTTCATTTGTGTAGCAACACGTGGTACCCAGACAAAGGAAGGCAACTGGAGAACAGTTTTCAGCTGCTTTCAGATGAACCCCTCCAAAGATTTCCAAATGGGAAGATATTGCATTTTCGAGAAAAATACACAACTGAGATTGTCACAGAGGCTTGTGGCCCCGCGGGTGTGTGAAACAGGCGGGTTCAGTCCATTTTTGACACCAGGAAGTCCAGACCATTTTGATTTTGCTGGCCATCTGACTTCCTGGTGGCTGATTCCAGGAAGTCCAGACAATTTAGACATCCCTCAGTGGCTGCTTTGGGCATTTTTCAGCCAAAGATTTCCTGCCTGAAGATCCCTACGGATCCAAGTACCTTCAGAAGGTGATTGGAGACACTCTTATCTAGGTTTGGATTGTCCAGTCGTACCTTCTGAGAAGGTACTTGGATCCCTAGAAGATGGGAAGGTGATCCCTGTTTTTTTTGGGGGGCTTACGTAGTACTTCAAGTCTCCATTCGCCAGTTAAGGTAGACGGCAGACTCCTTGGCATAAAGCACCTAAAGCTAGGTGCTGATCAAGTGTAAAGACATGGACCATTTGGATAATTTTCAATATAGTCCCTTCTATAATATATTAAAATATTGTTGATTCCCCACGAAAAAGAAACAGGTGCAATAAGGTTAAGTTAGCTGTTATTCTTTAAACGTAAACTGATGGTGTCAGTGAGAAAAAGAACTTCCATCACACAGTCATGGTGTCTTTTGGTCGTCCCGACTGACCCACATTCCCTCCCTCCAGTCACAGGAACTCCAACAGAGGTGGGTCAGAACCCGACTGTTCGACTATCCCAGTTCGGTACTCCAGGTTATGTGTCTATTTTTGAGGTCATTTCACCTTTCTTGGCTCCTCCAGTCACTCCGCTCCACCGGCCGTTGGTGGTCCGCTCGTTTTCCATCGCAGGCCGCAGGCATCGGATCCAGGGCACCCAGGCGCGGCCGCCGTCGCTGCTCGTGGCGGTCGGCGACCAGCTGCGGAGATCGTTGGAGGTCCGACCGCGGTCCGCTCGGTCCGGGAGGATGTTAAGGTCGCGAGGTCGAGGTGCTTTTTTGCTGCGGTGATGTTCATGTGGAGGTGATGATCTATATATATATATATATGAGGCCTTAAAGGAGGGTGTGACACCGATGGAAAAAGGAGTACCAATGGCTTTCTCGACCGCATCACCTTCCAGTCCTAGACCGCTGTGTGCTTCCCACACCGCCTCCTTCGGATCTCCGGTGTTCATCCTTCGGATCTGCTTCCAGCGCTGCACGACGGATCCACCGTAGCGACCCCGGTTTGGCACGACTGGACCGTTTTGGCACCGACATAAGAGTGTCGAACACATGAACTTCTGAGAAGGTAGTTGGATTTCTAGGGCACACGGGGAGAAGAAGCGATATGGAGGTACTCAGAGGTCATGTAGCCTAGCTGAATAGGTTTGTGTTTGTCAACATGTTCCGTTTTGGAAGATGATGGTTCTTTGCCTGGAGTGGTCTAACATGGTCTAACTATATAATACAGATATGCTATCCGATGTATTGAATATTATCGACTGATTGTTTTCTAATTTTGGGAGCACTTTCTGACATTCAAGGTTTCCTGCCCATGTCTTCTATCAACCCTCGACCACCGCAACCACTCCCCGCATGCAGCGTTCGGGTCGTAGGCAGATCCAGACCTTGCCGGCCGACGCGTGGCAAGCCATCCACGCGCGCTTCCAGGTTTCGGGGTTGAATGCTGGATGGGATAAGCGGACGTCGAGGATGGAGGTTCTTTTCTTGGTCGGCCTCTGTGGATACCAAAACAATGCCCAAATCAATGAGGACCGTGATACGCTACGCCGCCGAATGTGCAGCACGTCGAGAGGACCGCTTTTTCCGTTGAGGAATCGGGTGAGGTTCGTGGCTCGCTTTCGGTTTTGGTTTGTGTTGGGCTCATATGGCCCCCTTGAGGAGCACTGCACGTGTGACTGGTCTAACCCGACTTGGGAGCCAGGGCCATTGACCTTGGGAGCCATCCGCACGCCAAATCAGCCATTTGCTTTTGCGAGAGGCCGGTGTACTTTGTTGGTTCATTTGTTGATCTTCCAACTATGACCCAGGCGTCACCACTGCAATAAAACTCTTGAACCACTTTTAACGGACCCCTTCTCAGGATGGGCTGTTGGTGCAAGTAAAGCACAGATTCACAAGACAAGACATACAAAAATATATAGATTAGCATATTGAAACATATTGAATGAAACTGGATATGGATCTACTTTGGCAAAGCTGACCGAATGGTTAGCCTCTAATTTGGAGTGTCATCCACCTTCTGGATTTCAACCTGCCAACTCTGCCGCGCAGGTCGCCCCGGTGCCGCAGGTGGGGATGTTGGGGTGACCGAAGGTGTGATCCTTGACACTCTACCGGCAGCAGTTCAGCGGCGTCCCCTGCAATAACCATGGAAGAGCATTTTCCAGTGGTTCTTTCAGGGTCCACGTGGTCCTTTGGCATCCATGAAGTGTTTGAGCAGACTTGAGGGTCCACTCAGACCAACCTCCACTGAATTCGGGAAAGAAAAAGAACCTCTCCCGTTCCATCCCGTTCTCAACCCCCATGGACCCCTGAAATCAACTGCCGGGCTTTCTTCGCCGCAGAGTGGATCGATTTCTGGACCAGTTGGTTGACAGAGCAGTCGAAGGATGAATGGATGATGATGAATGGAACCGTCTTGGGTGAGCCAAACTGACAGTGGTGTTGGTGAATTGGGGCTTCACTCCACCGTTTGGGGCTTCACTCCTGAACCAAAACAACTGGTGCAATGAGTTTGCAAATTCGATACTGGGTCGCAGGTTCATCGGCAGTTGGGGCTGGGAATATGTGGATTTTGAGTTTTGAGGTGATCATATTGTACAGCAGTGCTGGGAGGTGCTACGCGAACTTACCATAAAGAGGAGACGCATCCTAGTTTCCCATGACAGTTCTAGTTTCCCATGACAGTTACCCAAAGGCTCAGAGTTTACACCCAACCTGTTCGTCGTTCGCCTTCCGGGGATTATTCTTCTCTCACAACGTCCGGTTTCAGAACGAAGCAACACCTAACATGCAACTGTTGGGTCCATGATCCTTTGGTGAAGATCTGTGTCCGACTCGGCGGACTCGGCGGACTCGGCGGATCCACGCCCTCCCGGCGGATCCGGTCGTGAGACCTGCTCACTTCTGTCTTGTGTTTGGCACCATGGGGACGACCTGGTTTTGCTTCAGGTGATGTTCTGGTATTTCCTTTATGGGTTTTAACGTTTGTTCCCAGATCCTAAAAAGCAAATCCAAGATGAAGAGCTTCTACTTGCTTCACCGTTAGCCCGCAGGTCGAGAAGATGCCACTTGGTCGAAAACGGTCGAGACGTGTCCCTCGAAGCAGTCCCCAGATACTTCGGACGGACTGGAGGACTGGCATACTCACCGATGTAAGGGATTATAAGGGGTGGTTGTCAAGGGTTAATCATATTCATTGTTCTGTACATGGAGTGTTTGGGATACGTGGTTTGGCATGGTTTTAGGGCGTTAAAGCAGGGGTGTAAAAAAATGTATTCTCAAAAAAGAGGTGAAGGGTACGCCAAACCCTGACTTCAGGGGAAAAAAAGACGCATCTTCCCCCTACCTAGAAGTCCAAAGACGACTCATTCCGAGTCACCAACATGGAAGTTGAAGTGGAATGAAAGTGTTCACCTCGATCTTGGTAATTTGTCAGATTCCATGGTCTTCCGAGTTTTCGGGGCATTCCATCCCTTTTCCATGATTGTTTCTGGGGAGTGTATATCTGAAGCAAAGGAGGTTCTTTTGGCCACTAAGTCCGACCGTTTTTTAGAATATTTCAAAATGAACGACTGGACCTCCTAGGGGGGCTCGACTCCAGTGATCTTCAGCCTCTTGGGACAGTCTGGTCGATCATCTGGCTGATAGTGGCTTGGTCCACTACTGCCTGCATCTTTAGGTGTTCGGTTGGAGCCCTGGGGGGTTCGGTCATCGAAGTTCGATCTTCCCCCACTCTCGGAGTCAGCTCCACGCGTTTTCGGCCGCCCAGGCATCTCAAGACCTTGCCATCCACTGCGTGGGATGCCATCCACCAACGTTTCCAGGCCATGGAAGCGAAAGAAAGGTTAAGTCAACCAGTTCACTTACTATATATATAAGTCAACCACTTATCAAAAGTAGGGGGCGGCCAGGCGACCATCATAATTTTGGGAGATGCTTGCGTGGCCAGCATTCTTCTTCCGAATGACATTGAGGGCTAGAATTTACTGCTGGCCGGTTCAATAAGCTAGTAAGGCAAGCTGGAGAAAATACAGATGAGCACCAGCCATGATTACTTGGTAACATGATGTAACATGCGTGTTGGCGCTGAGATACTCAGTTCCTTGCTATGTTTCTTCTGGCTGCCACCAGTTCCGCTCTTGGGACTCTCTGAGTGAGTTTTCCTTGCAGGTCTTGGGTGAAGTGAGCAGGTCTTCGAAGCAGCTCGTCCGGGCGGTGCAGTCCGGTTCGATCCAGTCCGACGGAAGGGTGTCCCGACGGTGTCGGGTGTCAGATGGCACCGTCTCCTTTCGTCACCTATTGGTTAGAGAAAAGGGAGAACTGACAGCGCGTGGGGTGTTGTAGTCACTGAACATGTCCACCCCGGACCGAGTCCTAGAGGTGCAGTCTTACTTCAGTGCCAGCTGCTGGAGGACGTCGTGAGTACGAACATGATTTAAATCGTGTGTTTTTTCCAGCAGTCACGTTCGACGGGGTGCGATCCATGGAGGAAGTCGGGGTGCCCCTGTCACATCCTCTCACTGGATGGGGTGCCCATGAACCACTCCATGTGACTCCTGGTAGATGGCCTTTTAGTACTACTATACTGGTTGATGAATATTCGAGGACACCCCCAAGTGGTGCAGCACCAAGCTCGGTAAATGGTACCTGGCACCAACCCCACTTATAGTGCTTCACTCTATAGTTCAACCACTCATGGTACCACCCTATGTGACTCCTGGTACCAACCCCTCAAGCTTCCATCATATCCCAGACACGACTAATGGGACTGCCATAGGACTGCCGCCCCATTGGGGTGGTGCCAGGGGGGGTCTGGCTGGGGCGGCAGTCCGGACTGGCAGTCCCATGAGTCGTGTAGGTCACTCCTGCGGCGCCAGTCACTCACAGACCGCCGGGATGAGGCGGTCGCTCCAAGGACTCAGCTGCCGTTCCACATGTCTCCTTCAGTTGGGACCTGGATGGTGCCACACTTCAAGCCTCGTGAACTTGTAGCTTGGCTGGGTGGGTTGTGGTAGTTAGTTGGTGTTGCGTTGCTTTTTTTTTGCTCAAGGGAAGCTACGTGCGAATAGATGCAAAGGGTTTGGATCATTTCTCTTTCACCACCTCGGGCTTTTCCCATGCGCAGCTGCTGCGATGAACCCTCACGCCCCCCCTCCCACTGTCTAATCAGGGTGTTTTGCCTGGGCACTCCCAATCGTTTTCTTTTTTTCAACACGTTACACATTCATCTTCTCCCTGGGTAAGTGGCCCAAATTCTGGGGTCAATGAATAGACCATATGTATGCGGCAAGTAAATCTTTTTTTTAAATAGATACTGGAAGATGGAATTGAGGAGGCTTTGCATCAGTCAATATTTAATCCACCTGTTATGTCTAACAGTCAAACAGTGTTAAACAGTGTCCTTGGTGTTTTTTTTTGCACCTGATTGTTGGATGATGTGGTGCTACCAATCGCGCGGTCGCCAGTGATTGGAGGTAGCGACGTCGTGCGATGCACTGAACGGCGGCCAGGTGAAGGAGGTGAAGGAAGAGACCGTCGCCAAGATCGAAGTAAAG